AATACCTGTCACTACTTCCAAGGTATGTACACGATTTTGTTTGGTTGTGGTTTATTTTCGTTTTTCTAACTTCTGGTGCTTTACTATTTTCGTCCGTAACATATTTCTTATACGCAAGCACTGATCATGATATGACTGACTCAGAGACTTAACTGCTAAGCAAGTGAATGCTACTTTTTTGATTCCTCATATATACTAAGTGACATATAAATCCGAACACCCAGTTTAAATGGTTTTATTTTAATAAAATTTTGTATAAGTACTTAATGAAGCATAATAGGTAAATGATAAAAATTTCAAAATGATTGCACTGCTTTAAAGCCCTTTGACCTTTAATAATGTGTGGATGCACCCTGATGTGCTACGCATTCTCCAACGCGCCTAGGCATGCTTCTGATCAGGTGGTCAATGTCCTCCTGTGGTATCTCATTCCAGGCAACCACCAACTCCTCTCGAAGTGCTTCTAGAGTCTGCGGAGGACGTTGCAAATTGAGCAATCTCCTACCCATCATATCCCACATGTGCTCAATTGAGGATAAGTCGGGAGATCTTGGTGGCCATTATGTTACAAGAAGTCTATTGTGACTCTTGCAACATGTGGTCGGGCATTATCTTGTTGGAAAGTTTGATCTGCCAGGGTGTCAAGATAGGGTAAAAGATGGGGTTCTAGAACTTCGTGGATATAACGCTGCGCGTTCACGTTAGCTCTGATGAAGATTAAAGGTGACCTGGAACCATAAGCTATAGCACCCCAAACCATAACTCCAACAGTGTGATGAACATGTCTTTCAACAAAAAACTGTGGATTCCTCCTTTCACCACGTCGCCTTCTAACCCTGGCACGACCATCGTGCATGCCTAAACAAAATCGAGACTCGTCACTTAAGACAATACTGTTCCATTCCTGATCCCAGAGTGACCGTTGTCTGCACCACTCAAGGCGATTACGTCGGTGTTCTCGAGTTAAAGGGACGACCCAGTGTGGCCGGTATGAAAACAAGCCAAAACTTCTCATTCGTCGGTAAACACTTCGCATGCCAATAGGTCTTCCGTGTTCTGCAAACCACTCATTTGCAATGGACCTGGTAGTAGAGAAACGGTCCCTTAAGGCCAATAATCTTAGGCGGCGATCTTCACGGTCTGTTGTTCTACGGCGGCGTCCAGTGCCCCTTGCTCTTTGCGTACGGCCTTCTCGAAGCCATGCCTGACAACACCTAACCACAGTGTCTACACTTCTTTGCACTCTAACTGCAATTGCCCGAAAAGAAAGTCCAGCTTCCCGAAGTCCCACTATACGGCCCCTATCAAACTCACTAAGTTGACGAAATCGTACAGGTCTCCGTACTCTAGGCATCGTAACCGATCGTAAAGGATGTCAAGAACCAAAATCCGCCAACGTTGATTCTTTACTGCGGCTGAAATATTCATTTTTAGAGCGTTAGTGAATTAAAAAAAAGCAGTATAAAAACCGGAATGTCCAACTGATAAGGCTGAAAATTTTTTCACTTGTTATTTACAGTAAGATAAATACATTCACCAACTTTTATTAAAATAAAACCATTTAAACTGGGTGTTCGGATTTATATGTCACTTAGTATAAATGAAACATTTTCATTGCCAGCCTGTTTCAATATGAACTTTTTGATATTTTTTATTCATTCACCTGTACTGCCGTATTTAGGTAAAAGACAGTAAAGTTTGAAGTCTGGTGAAAATTGAGTTCAACATTTTGGATTCTTTCGAACTGAATAAATAATATCATTACAACACGAGTCGTTTAAATGTGATTTCTCAAACAAATGACATTCCGTCTTTGGTTCATAAAGTAGTAATATGTGATTTAGTAATTTACTGGAAAAAGCAGTAATGCAGAATTTTATTTTATTTTCATATAATTTATACATTTCATTTTAACATGAATAACACAAAAGTTATTCTTTTCAACATCTAATACTTCAATTCAATAATTATGTATTTACATTTAATAATTACATTCAACAAAAAAATTATATAAATAAACTAAAAACATTATGTTTTCTTATATGTTCATTTAAACAAAGAATATTTTTCAAAATTATTCTTGTGGTACAAAGGTTATTATTTATAACGATAGATATTTATTCTTAAATAATAGGATTACGAGTATTACAAAGAAAAACTAAATAATTGAACATCATAATAAAGGGTAAAAAGGCAGTACTTGTATCAGAGCATAAAAACAGTATAGTTTGAAAAATTCTGCTTTATTTTCATAAATCGATTTATGCTTTTATGCTTAGAAAATGTAATTGATATGAAATATACTAAGTGACATATAAATCCGAACACCCAGTTTAAATGGTTTTATTTTAATAAAAGTTGGTGAATGTATTTATCTTACTGTAAATAACAAGTCAAAAAATTTTCAGCCTTATCAGTTGGGCATTCCGGTTTTTATACTGCTTTTTTTAATTCACTAACGCTCTAAAAATGAATATTTCAGCCGCAGTAAAGAATCAACGTTGGCGGATTTTGGTTCTTGACATCCTTTACGATCGGTTACGATGCCTAGAGTACGGAGACCTGTACGATTTCATCAACTTAGTGAGTTTGATAGGGGCCGTATAGTGGGACTTCGGGAAGCTGGACTTTCTTTTCGGGCAATTGCAGTTAGAGTGCAAAGAAGTGTAGACACTGTGGTTAGGTGTTGTCAGGCATGGCTTCGAGAAGGCCGTACGCAAAGAGCAAGGAGCACTGGACACCGCCGTAGAACAACAGACCGTGAAGATCGCCGCCTAAGATTATTGGCCTTAAGGGACCGTTTCTCCACTACCAGGTCCATTGCAAATGAATGGTTTGCAGAACACGGAAGACCTATCGGCATGCGAAGTGTTTACCGACGAATGAGAAGTTTTGGCTTGTTTTCATACCGGCCACACTCGGTCCTCCCTTTAACTCGAGAACACCGACGTAATCGCCTTGAGTGGTGCAGACAACGGTCATTCTGGGATCAGGAATGGAACAGTATTGTCTTTAGTGACGAGTCTCGATTTTGTTTAGGCATGCACGATGGTCGTGCCAGGGTTAGAAGGCGACGTGGTGAAAGGAGGAATCCACAGTTTTTTGTTGAAAGACATGTTCATCACACTGTTGGAGTTATGGTTTGGGGTGCTATAAATTATGGTTCCAGGTAACCTTTAATCTTCATCAGAGGTAACATGAACGCGCAGCGTTATATCCACGAAGTTCTAGAACCCCAGATAATGCCCGTCCACATGTTGCAAGAGTCACAATAGACTTCTTTCAACATAATGATGTCACATTGTTACAATGGCCACCAAGATCTCCCGACTTATCCCCAATTGAGCACGTGTGGGATATGATGGGTAGGAGATTGCTCAATTTGCAACGTCCTCCTCAGACTCTAGAAGCACTTCGAGAGGAGTTGGTGGTTGCCTGGAATGAGATACCACAGGAGGACATTGACCACCTGATCAGAAGCATGCCTAGGCGCGTTGGAGAATGCATAGCACATCAGGGTGCATCCACACATTATTAAAGGTCAAAGGGCTTTAAAGCAGTGCAATCATTTTGAAATTTTTATCATTTACTTATTATGCTTCATTAAGTACTTATACAAAATTTTATTAAAATAAAACCATTTAAACTGGGTGTTTGGATTTATATGTCACTTAGTATATTTGACACAGTGAAAAAACAACTATTTTTGATGAACGCATCAAATATCTAACGAATGACTGATCTAATATTTCTTAAATTAGTAGTTTTACAGTTTTTCAGAAACTGATAGCAACTTTTGTGTTTCTCATGGAATGCTATACATTTTATTCGATATTTGAATTCTGCGAGAAAATCTTACTACTTTTTAGCCAGCATACTTTGACGTAGTCCTCAGAGTTTTCGTAGTATTCGTGGTTAAACCTTAATATTTAAACAAAAAAAGTATTTTTTTCACCTAGCAATGACCTGTATCGAAAGTAATTTCCTGTCATTTCTGACTTTCAAAAGTCCATTGAGTTTTGCTAGTAAACTTCTTGAGAATGATTCATTTAACTGAAACCGAAATACAAATTCTAATGATTCTGGATTATGGCGATCGTTGCCGCACACAGCAAGAAGTTTCCGATATTTTTAATGACAAGTATCCTAATCGGAATCCAATATCAAGGCCTACTGTTGGAAAAGTTTTCTCCACGATCTGGTAAATTAAATTCTTTCTTTTCCTAAGCACCAAATAACTAAACACGTATAAAATACAGTTCGGTCAGGTATATCTGTGTTGATAAAATGAATGCGGAAAAAATTCGGGTTGTTATTTGATTGTTGCCACGTCTAATCTTCGAATTGCTGTTTACGTTGGTAGTTTCCATTTTTAATTATAAACGAATTGTAGATTTGGCAATCCCTAACGGACAACATTTTGAACACTTATTGAAATAAAAAGTGATATTTTCGTGTTTTTGTTTTTTTTTCTGAACAAATTAATATAAATAAAGATTTTTCTAATTTTCTCCAAAACGAGACGACCGATTTAAAAAAATCAAACTTCAAAGTAAGGGACTTCGGAAGACTTTTCAAACAAGCTATTAATCGATGCATCTTGTCATTTTTCGTTAGGTTTAGGTTGGTTAGGTTAGCCGATTTTTTGTTAGGTTTAGGTTGGTTAGGTTAGCCGATTTTTCGTTGGGTTGGTTAGGTTAGCCGTTTTTTCGTTAGGTTTAGGTTGGTTAGGTTAGCCGATTTTTCGTTAGGTTTGGTTTAAAAAAAGGCAGTAAATGAACTTTACTGGCTTTCACCTACATACAGCAGTATAGTCAATATGGCTAACTCAAAAATCACGTTCTGACTGAGACCTGAAACTTGTATAACAGAAACGTACCGAGACCGAGACATAATCATCAACATTTTTCAACTATTTCCTTGTCTCATCTGGAGATTAAAAAGTACAACATAATTCTACAGATTCAATGAGTGCAGAACCTAAACCAGTATTTTTGCAGGTGTACCACCACTGTCTCTTCGGAACCAGATACGACTTTTTGTGCGCCAACTACACTGCCTTTGATCAGAAGACTTTCATCTGCCATTTTGCTTCTGAAGTCGACTGCGTCAATTCTAAGAAGTTCTGGCACAGGTAAAATCTGTACAGAAAGCTTGAATTCACAAACGTGGCTGTTCCTGTTAACTTAAATGATCTCTTAAACATCTCATGACACACATTATAAACAATACTGTTTGCGATACCTGAAGATAGAGAAATTTACGGGTAATCATTTTTTATTGACTATGATCGCTCATAGTTTTTTTACACCAAAGCATCCGCGCAGACAGAAAGCATACTCCACGATCTTGATACCCTAAGGACAAAGGAGCGATCGTGTCAGTGTGCGGTGGCAGCTTAAACCCAAAGTGGTACACTGACTCTACATGACGATAGTGTTGATCTCTCTTGTACGGCCTCCTGGTTTGGTGGGCTTGGATTGGAACCGAGACACCTAAAGCCAAACTCAATAAAATTCAGCGTTTGGCCTGTATCAGTATTAGAAGTGCAGTGCGAACAACGCCATTGAGTGCAATGGAAGCTCTGCTGGAACTTTCACCGTTGGACAACGCCATAGAGCGCAATGGAAGCTCTGTTGGATCTCCCACCGTTGATCAACGCCATAGAGTGCAATGGAAGCTCTGTTGGATCTCCCACCGTTGTATCTCCAGACATCTCCGTCATGCATTGGAACTCATTGTAGGACCCAGCACTAAGGATGGACGTTTTAGATTATCTTTGGATACAGCCAACCTAAGGTCGCTGGTGGGACTGTCGTCTGGCCATAACTCGTCAATGGGCCACCTGCACGTGATGGCTGAGGATTCCTTGTGTGAGCGCTGCGGGGCAGATGAAGAGACGTTCTGTGTTGCTGTGAGGCTCTGAGCTAGTATAGGCAGAAGACTTTGGACTCCCACAACGTTAAGGTGCTTGGACTCAACTTTGCTAGAATGGCGAGGCTTGAGGTCTACGGAATGTAGAGGTGTGCAAGGGCCCGTTTCAGTTGGATTTTGTAAGAAGGTTATGTGTGCCTTGATCTCCTGCTGACGAGCAGCGTGGCACGATTTTTTGAACCAGCCGTCGAACCCTGGTTTAGACGCTGTCACTGTTTGAGGAATATGTTCCTCCATCCCAACGTGGATCATTTCGGTACATGCTGGAAGTGGTATCGACATCAACGGCGTGACCATAAGACTGGATAAGTTTATACCACAGTTGCTAGAATGCCTCGCGGGGATCGCTAGTGCCGGAAACCATACTGCCTGTCTCTAATCAAGCCGTGACGTTCGAGTTGCTGCAGAGGCTTCCGATTTATGCACCTCTCCATCACCTTACTTACAACATAACAAATTTTTGTTTCTATATTAGAAAAGATATACTGAGTGCTTTGCGAGTCACCCTACACATCCCGATTTTCTCTGCTTTTTAGGAACGATGCCCTGTACCAGGCTGCCTCGACAACCACCCTGAAACCCCTCGTAATCTACACGACCGCGTCACCAGCTCAACCCCAACCGATCACAGCCCTGTCACCGCTTTCACCTCTACCCGTTGCTCGGACACATCCCGATAGTGTGAGACCCTACAGACGTCGGAGACCTCACTTTGATTACTACGGCGACTACTACGAGGATTACTACGAGGATCGACCGCGAAGTCGCGGTAGAAAAAGGATCAGACCTAAAAGGCCAAGGCCGTTGTATGAAGATGAGTACGACGAAGAGTACTACGATGATGAGAAGTACGAAAGACGAGGTGGGGTGAGAAGAAGACCTTATAGCAGAAGGAGGAATAAGGAACGGGACAGGGGCAAGTTTGAGTATGACGATGAGGAGGATAGCCAGGACGAAGAAGATTACAGATTGAGTAAGTGATTTCTTCGTTTAAGACAATGCGGGATCTCGGGAGTTCTTTGGTTGAAGAAGCTTCCAAAGAAGAATCTTCTGAATCCATGTTGCTCTCTTCACCTTCTAAATGAATTGATTGCTCTCCATGGACACGATCATTGATGTCTCAAGTTAAATTATACAGTCGTGTTCAAAGGCTATTTAAAAAACAATGACCAGTGTCGTCTGTAGGGAACTAAGTTTTTGGAACAAATCAGTATTTCCAAGGACAAAATACTCTTGAAACGTTTTGGAAAAACCCTGTATCATTGTTTCTATTGCAGGTAGCAGAAGAAAGGTGAACAACAGGAAAAAGCGACCTGACAGTGATGAAGATGAAGACGATGACAGATATCCTCCAAAACGGAAGCATAACAGGAGAAGACCTCCAAGCGAGGAATCTCCTAAAAACAGAAAAAGACGTCCACAACTACAGTCAGACTACGATGAAGACTATGATAGCTACGAGAAACCAAAGAGCAAAAGCAAGGATAAAACGAAAATCAATAGTCAAAAACAAAATGCTCAACCTGATCTTGTTAAGCCGAGCAGTGGTACGGTATACGATCGTCCAAGGGTAGCACCAAAAATCAAACCTCCGGTTCCTAAGGATCAAGCAGAGAAGTATGCTTACAAATCTTCTAGTGGTAAAGGGAAAGATAAAGAGGTTGAAGAGGACTATTACGATGAGTATGAAGACTTTCCTAAAAGGAAAAGTCCTGTACATAGAAGACCGTCAGAAGGTAGTGGAAGAAAGAAAAACAGACCACCCGTGGAGGATGTTGATTCAGAAGAACGACCAAAGCAAAAGCTCAAAGAGTCATCTAGGGGATTTGCTTCAGAATCACCTCAAGAGCAACAACATAAGGTACCTTCCAAAGAAAAATATAAGGGACCAACTAGAGACGTTGCTCCAAGGGAACATCAAAAACAAGAACATGAGGATCTTCCTAAGGCTGATACTTCAGAAGAACATCCAAAACAGAAGTCTCCTGCTACCAAACCTAAGGAATCTATTAGGACCGATGATAAGTTAAAACCTAAAGAATCTATTGGGACAGATGATAAGTCCAAAGAAGATGAAGAGGAAGATTACTACGATTATTATGAAGATGAACCGGACGAGAAGGGAAGTGGCAAAGATGCGACCGTATCTACCTCTACGACAACGAAAATGCCAACGACTACAACTGTCAAGCCTACTAGCAGTACATCACCATCAACCACAACTAGCACTACAACCACAAGTACCACCACGACTACTCAAGCTCCAATACTCAGGATAGAACAGCCCTTGATAAGGTTGGTGAAGAGACCTTTCCTCCCTAGCAGAGGTGGTAACCCTTATGCAGCAAGAGGATTAGAACCTGTGGGGGCTAGAGCTTTCTCATTGACTCCTGAAGTCAACGAGGATATACCAAGGGACATCCCGAAAGAGGCGAATACAGAGAAAGTAACCGCAGATGCCACCTTCAAGCCTTCACCTGTCATCATGACTGCGCCCGTGAGGAGCATTGCCTCAAACGGGAATGGACGGGAGGAGTTCCGTCCCCAACCAGATCCTAGATTGACCTTCAGGAGTAATCCCAACACGTCGTCACCTCAGAAATCTCCTGATAAGAACCCTCTTGACATAAACGCTTCGGAATATGACGTGACCTTGAACGATGCTCTAAATCCAACCCTTTCGAATTTACCTTACAGCTATCCAAGTTACAGGGGTCAACAGGGTTCAGATCAGGCTGTCTCGTCGGCTAATGCAGGGTACAATTTTCAGATCGATCCACTGACGCATAGGTACGACGTGGTACCTAGAAGGGACTTCAATGAACAATTTACTGTGATCAGAGATGCGTACAGGCCTAGACAAGTGCAAAGTCAAGCTGTGTATTCTAGGTATTGAGATAAATTGTGAATAGTCAAGTTAGATTAGGAATCTTCTCCTCTATTTCTATGTCAATGCCTCAAAGACTGGAATAACCTAAACATGTTTGAGGGAGGGGGTTAGAGCATTCTCAATTTAAAGATTACCTACTTAGAGAGGACCTTAGTAAAATGTTCAGACCGATAGGTCGCCCCAAGGGGCCCTTAAACTTAAAACGTGTTTTTTCGAAAATAATTCTTCACAAGCCCACTTTTTTTTTTATTTGAAAATATTACCGAAGCTGCATTGTTATTTATATCCTACAAATTCGCCAAGATTTGTTGCAGGTGCAGGTTCGAGGGAAAACATTTTTGATTTCTTCCGAATTTTTGGTTAGGTAATGAAAATTTTGCAAACTTAAAAATTCACTGTATTCTTTTTGAATCCACTAACAAAATCATGAACTTTTGCCCCAAGTAAATTTTTCACATTTTAAACGCAGGATATCATAAATAAGATGGCTACCAGAACTCAACATATTTATTTAAAAATTTAGGAAAATCAGGTAAAACGATGTGTTTCCTATTTTCGCAATTTTCCTGGAAACAAATCAAATTTTTGACTTTGCAATCTGATGAAATGGATAAAAATACATATATTCCGATCTCTGGCAATTCCGGGCAAAGATTCTTTTGGCTGTGGATATGAAAGGATCGCAGGAATAAACAGTGGATTTCAAAGTTTGCAAAGATTTCATTAGCTAACCAAAAATTCGAAAAAAAAATACAAAAAACCTGTTTCGCGGACCCATACTTTCCACAAATCAATAAAAATTACGGTTATATAGGATATAACAATCTAGCATCGGCGATTTTTTCATTTTTTTTCAAACAAAATCGCGCTTGTAAAAAATTATTTTCAAGAAAATCCCTAGGATTTGATTCAAATGGAAAACCTTTGGAGGCAATCGTCATATGTAGGTTTCGCCTATAGCCTTTGTCAAATTGTATTCCTTTGGATATCAATATTTCATAGTTTTGCTAATTGACAGAATACGCACCAAAATTACGAATGACAAAATATTCCATTGACAAAAGAGATAAAAGTGATTTTATAGAAAAAAATCTCTTCACCTTTGTTCGAATATATACTCAAGTTAAATATCGTCGAATTAATTGAATTTGTGAGTAGTTCAGTCAAATTGGAACAAGCAACGTAAAACATATTTGACATTTTCTTAGAACATTCAGTCAAGCTTTTTGTTTGAATATGTGTTGGACTACTTTGAGGGTGATATGTATTTCTTCGGAGTGAAAGGGTTGACATAAACTAGCTTCACTGTATCCCATTTTAATCCCTCTACCTAAGTATAACTGCGCATTCTAGAAAAAACAGTTTTAAACGAAAGTTGACCTTCATCATCCGTTCAAGGTGAAGCGAATATTTTGATATGGAACCCGTCTTTGTCACTTCGGAATTGAAAACAAGTGCAAAATGTACGTCTTGACATTACCTTGGTCTTGACCTTGACCACTGCCTTCAAGGTCATTTGAAGGTCAAATCGAAATATCCAAAACAATTTTCTCTAGCAAAAATGTTCGACAGTACAGTTGTAAGATTTGTGCGGATCACTCAGGTGACTTTGACCATGACCTTCATAGTTGAGCCAAAATTTCCTCTCATTTTTGGAACAAGCATGAGCTCGACTCTGAGGTCAGGATCACACTTGGACGTAAAATTTCCCGCTTTTCCATTTCCATTATAAAAATGCGCGGTTTCCTTTGACAATTGTGACATGACCTTGAAGGTCATGGTCAATGTCACCTTCGGCTGATCCCCACAAACGTTACAAGTGTGTTGTCGAACACTTGCTAGAGCAAATTGTTTCAGATGGCTTGGAATGACCTTGAATGCAATGTCCAAGGTCAAGGTGATATTCAGACATAAAATTTGCTCTTCTGTTCAATTCCGATGTAAAAAAGTGGAGTTGTATTTGGAAATATCCACTTGATCTTGGAATGACCTTGAAGGTCGTAGTCAAGGTCACCATAATTTCGCCCCTTTGAAATCCTGCAACCTTTGTTTGGAACTTTTTTCTAGAATACGCAGTTTTCGAAATATGTGAGGAGATTAAAACGAGACTCGGTGTATAACTGTTTTATTTTGGCTAAGAAGTTACTTTCTATAAAATGTATAAGATTTTGTTATGCATTCCAGTACGACACCATTTTTTTGAGAAATTGCATGATAAATGCATAATTTGACTGGACTCTAAAGCCATATGCCTTTTATACTCGTGATCTAGCTGTGTATATTTAGTTATTTTTAATTAATTTAACGAATTGTAATATACCTTGTAAAAATATTTTGTTTAAATAAATCCTAAGATATTACAACAGATGTTTGTGTACGGCGGCGAACATTAGACATCACGCGCTAGTCTGAGAAGCAAGAGAAATTTATTCATAATTATTCTTCTGTTTGATGACCTACTTACAGACCAAGGACGCTTTCTTTCGCGAAAAAAATATGCAACCAATTTATCAGTAGTCTGCATTGCTAGGTGCATATATTCATTGCAAATGCAAATTCATGACTTCTATATACATGGAAATATGCAAATTAAAAATATTACAACATCTATGGGTGTTTTTCATTGAGAGGATATGATGTATTGATGGTATCGTTGTGCAACTATGTCACTGAAGTATATCAATATATCTTCTTGAATGTCTAAGTTTAAATAAGCAAAAAAGGATGTAAAATACAAAATGCAATATAAACAATACATGAAAATATAGAAATAAACATGAAGTACCCAAAAAAGAAAAGAAAAAGAACTCGTGCTTGAGCTCGAGATATAATAAATCAAACTTGAAATATTTTAGAACATAGATTTTGTTCTGGTCAAATGTATAAATTTAAATATCTTCAGTGATAATAATAATTATAAGTTTAGTATACTAAGTGACATATAAATCCGAACAACCAGTTTAAATGGTTTTATTTTAATAAAAGTTGGTGAATGTATTTATGTTACTGTAAATAACAAGTGAAAAAATTTTCAGCCTTATCAGTTGGACATTCCGGTTTTTATACTGCTTTTTTTTAGTTCACTAACGCTCTAAAAATGAATATTTCAGCCGCAGTAAAGAATCAACGTTGGCGGATTTTGGTTCTTGACATCCTTTACGATCGGTTACGATGCCTAGAGTACGGAGACCTGTACGATTTCGTCAACTTAGTGCAAAGTGCAAAGAAGTGCAGACACTGTGGTTAGGTGTTGTCAGGCATGGCTTCGAGAAGGCCGTACGCAAAGAGCAAGGGGCACTGGACGCCGCCGTAGAACAACAGACCGTGAAGATCGCCGCCTAAGATTATTGGCCTTAAGGGACCGTTTCTCCACTACCAGGTCCATTGCAAATGAATGGTTTGCAGAACACGGAAGACAAATTGGCATGCGAAGTGTTTACCGACGAATGAGAAGTTTTGGCTTGTTTTCATACCGGCCACACTGGGTCCTCCCTTTAACACGAGAACACCGACGTAATCGCCTTGAGTGGTGCAGACAACGGTCACTCTGGGATCAGGAATGGAACAGTATTGTCTTTAGTGACGAGTCTCGATTTTGTTTAGGCATGCACGATGGTCGTGCCAGGGTTAGAAGGCGACGTGGTGAAAGGAGGAATCCACAGTTTTTTGTTGAAAGACATGTTCATCACACTGTTGGAGTTATGGTTTGGGGTGCTATAGCTTATGGTTCCAGGTCACCTTTAATCTTCATCAGAGGTAACATGAACGCGCAGCGTTATATCTACGAAGTTCTAGAACCCCATCTTTTACCCTATCTTGACACCCTGGCAGATCCAACTTTCCAACAAGATAATGCCCGACCACATGTTGCAAGAGTCACAATAGACTTCTTTCAACATAATGATGTCACATTGTTACCATGGCCACCAAGATCTCCCGACTTATCCTCAATTGAGCACGTGTGGGATATGATGGGTAGGAGATTGCTCAATTTGCAACGTCCTTCTCAGACTCTAGAAGCACTTCGAGAGGAGTTGGTGGTTGCCTGGAATGAGATACCACAGGATGACATTGACCACCTGATCAGAAGCATGCCTAGGCGCGTTGGAGAATGCGTAGCACATCAGGGTGCATCCACACATTATTAAAGGTCAAAGGGCTTTAAAGCAGTGCAATCATTTTGAAATTTTTATCATTTACTTATTATGCTTCATTAAGTACTTATACAAAATTTTATTAAAATAAAACCATTTAAACTGGGTGTTCGGATTTATATGTCACTTGATACATAATAAATAGGCTGACTTAGAATAAACGACTTTAATGCAATTTTGGTACGTTTTTTGGACTATACGAGTTTATGTTTTAAATTTGGTGGCATAATAGTAATATAAAATTTGGGCCTAGAAAATACAATGATCATAGACTTGAAGTTTTTTTTAAATTTGATCTATACATTGTAATAAATTTGTATGTTTAGTCAAATATATAATTGTATTGTATTTGTGATTCACTGTAAACATTTTCCGTTGGATATAATTTATTTTTGTTAAATGCAATTTAATATCCACTTCTGAGCAATTTAAATCTTTTTATAATAATTTTTCATGACTGGTTTCATACGAAATAAGTGGGTAGATACTTGTAAGTGCATGATAAAGCATGTATAGATATTTTACATTTGGAAAACTTCTAAAGTATTTAATTTTTGAAATAAAATATCTTAAATTTTTTTGTCAAATTTTCAACATGTATATTCCATTTTAAATTATTATCAATAATTATCCCTAAGTATCTGAAATTATTTACTGATTGTATATATTTGTAGCCATCTGGTGTTTGAATTTGGAATTTATTACACGGTGGAGATCTCTTTTTGGAGGAAAACGTTATGAAATATATTTTGTTAAGATCAATTGTCAAAATTCTGTTTTTTCTTTGACTGAAAATAATAGAAGCATGCTCTTCGGTGACTTCTACCATCCTAAAAAATGTTCGTACAGGCTTCTACAATAGGTTGGGTTACCGACAAGCCCAGCAAAGAGGCTTGTTTGAACATTTAATTTAATCTGATTATTTATTTCATTTTTTATTCAATTTAACATTTCTTTTAGAACTATCTTTGATTTCCATCGATGCTGATAAAGCGAGCCTGAGTTATTGCCACATTTTCCGAGAGAAAGCGGTCGCAGATTCCCGCGACCTTCAGCGCCGGCGTTGCTAGGCAACGTGGCGAGCCGGCTTCTATCTCTTTCTAACATACCTGTGCTTTTAAACACTTATACCGCTACTTCCTTGTACACATTGAACGGAAGTTCGATTCTCACTGTAGTGCTGTTATCGATAATCTTTTGATTGAAATCCTCATGATAGCATATCTCAAATCCTTAACAGCTTGAAGACAAGAAGATCATACGTTTCACCAGAAAAGTCGTCAACTGCAGCATGGTATACCGTATTTCGAGCTATTTGTATAATAGGATTGTAGTGCTTCAGTGCTAAATCAGTAGTGTAAATAAGTAACAGCTTCTTAACATAAGACATACGTAAGCTAATGCTATTATGCTTGTGCTTTATCTTCTCAATGCAGATATTCGATATCAGGAAGTTTAAACATTGCTACAGTTTACAGCGCACGTCCTATTAAGGTTCAGTTTGGTTCGGTAGGTTCCGCCTCTAAATTGGACGGCTTTGGAACGTCGGATTGGGGTCGTTTCTGGAACGTCCTTAGCGACGTATTCTTTCCAGGAAATTGGATAGTCACCAAATCGACCAATACGGCTAAAATAAAGGACGTATCGGGGATGTTTCCTACATCGGCAAAAATTAAATTATCCATGTATGAAAAAATATCTGAAGTCACTTGAAATAGCATAAAAACCTTTGGTCGGCGCGTCCTTTGTAATTTCATGACTTATCATAGGCGTGCGGATTTACAGGAGGCAAAACACAATATTCATTTTCTTTTTCAATAATATGCCTAGAACACTGCTTCCATAGGTCTGTGGCAGCAATATGAGATACTGCATCTCTTATTGTGGCCAATAGCGATTCACTTAATTGAGGGGTCTGATTATGTTTTCTTACTTTTTTTTAAAGCAGCCCAGACCAACTCAATCGGGTTAAAAATGCAGTAATAGGGAGGTACACGTAATACTTCATGGCCATTTTGCTGAAGCAGATTGTCAACAACATACTCTTTTTCAAATTTTTGTCTTTTAATAAGATCCAATAATATGGCTTTGGTTGATTTTTGTGGTATTTCCATTCCCTTATCCTTCATAAAATCAATAATGTCTTGTTTTTTTGTGCCTGTATTCGGAATTTTGTTTTTCTGTCGGGAATGGTATGGCGCATTGTCCATTATCATCACTGAATTTGGGGAAATGTTTGGTATTAACTGCTGCTCTATCCACTTTTCAAATAAGTCGGAGGTCATGTCCTCATGATAGTCGGCACATGATTCTTTGATATTTTTGGCAGATAACAGCAAGGCATTAGGTATAAATCCATTTTCACTGCCAGCATGAAGAATAATGATTCGTTTTCCACGGTTGCATGGTGCATTTAAAATGCACTTGTTGCTGTCGTCAACCCAGCCGTACTGCACAACATCATGGGTATCATACCACGTTTCATCCAGGTAAATCAGATTTCTTTTCTGCTCTCTATAGATTTTAACTTTGTGCAAAAATTCTTGGCGCAATTCAACGATTCGAGACTCCATAATCACCATTCTTTTATCTAATTTTTTGTATTGAAAACCACACAGTTTTACAATACAGTGCAGTGAGTCTAAGTATTTGTAATTATAAAAATCTTCAGGATAATCTTTTAATTTATCCCGTATCATTTCCAACGTGGGCTCCAAATTTTCTTTATAAAATCCGTATATTATGCGACGAATATCTTCCTGAAAACCCACGTCTATTCTTTTTAATTTTTGCCCTATGCGCTTTCTGTGGAAGGAATGGTTGACTACATCTCCCCTTTTTATAACCCGATAAATGGTAGACCGACTGATTTTTGTCAGGATACAAATTCTGTTTAAAATTTGATTTTGCGAGGAATCTGGATTTTCGTTTTTCAGACAATCATACATATTTAGGATTACTCTTTGGGTCTGTTCCTCTAAATCTTTATGAAAGAATTCTGCCTGCACAGGTTCATCAACCATCTCCTCGTGGCTTGGAGCATTTTCCCAAGGTCTCCAAAGAGCCATATTTAGGACACACAAGAACAATCAACACAACAATTAAATCAACAAGTAAACTGAGTATTCAAAAGTCAAAAACACACAAACTAATAAAATCTATGAAAAAACACGGACAGACTAAAGAAAACACGTTGATTCACCGCTACACGGCACTGGCTAAACTGTTTCAATTTTCAGTAGCCACCTGCACTTGTTGGGAGCTCTGAAATACACGCTTTCTCATTGGCTATGTCCACGCATAGGCGTGCTTTACTCCACGTGGACCGGTGAAACTGCCTTTGTTCTTATACGGGGTATATTTGCTGCGAAATTTGGCGATTTTTGCAGCAACAGAGCGTGTTAAATATAGATATATAAAACGCACCCGGTATTTCACAGTGTTTCAAGTGACTTCAGATAAAGTATACAGAGTTCTCCACAAGCTGAATCAATATCTGTCAGATGAGAAATTACTAGGATACTTGATTGTCGGACTTTCTATTGCAGTATCACAGACTAACCTATACCTCAAAATTATTTTCTACTTTTTAATTCGATACGCTATTAGAGCCCGGTGGTTAGTCTTTAAACTATAATTTATGAAACGTATTATTTTACATTCTGTGACTAAGTTCTTTGAATAAAAGAAACGTTTATAGGTCAGATTGAAGGAGGTGGATTAGCAACCTACAATTTTATTACATTCTTATCTCTTCCCTTCCACATGCCGACCTGCCGGGAACGTCTCCCAGGTCGTTCCGGGAACATCTATGAAACGTATTTGTGCTATTAGGGAATGAGGCAAAAATTTCAATAACAACTGGAACGATGGAGTAAACGTGGATGATGCCGCGTATCTGCATTGAGTGTACAATTTGGTTTTTGAACTTTGATTTTAACAAAATTTTCCTTTTTAGGTGTATCACCATTGTTTATTTGGTGTAAGATACGACTTTCTTTGTGCAAATTACACGGCATTCGACCAGACTCTTTTCAACTGCAATTTCGTGTCTAATGTCGATTGCGAAGGGTCCAAGAAATTTTGGCATAGGTGAGTGGCTATAAGTTCAAGATACAAAATAAAAAAATATCTTCAACATATGTCCAGATCAGGTATTAATTAGTTTTTTATAAAAATATTGCTTCGGAGCTATGTTAAAAAATAAACGTAATTTAAAGTTTTTTTTAATAAATTTATATACAGGGTGTCCGCAAAGTTGGGGTTTTCCTTTACACGACGTGTAGATCTTGAAAACATAAGCAATTTTTCTTAGTACCATATACACCAATGTCTTAAGGGAACCGAGATAAAGGGCTCTGCAACATCAAAAATATCTGAATACCGTCCTGTAGCCGCGACCCGCCGGGATATCCCCGACTGGTACAAGGTCTCAACCCAACGGCAGAAAAAACAACAAGCACTAGAGACGTGGCTAGAGAAGTGCAAGTATCAAAAACTAAAGTGTGGCAAACGCTGCGTGAAGAGGGGCTGTATCCGTTTCACGTCCAACGTGTACAAGCCCTTCAACCTGACGATTTTCCAGCAAGAGTGCGGTTTTGTGAGTGGTTGTTGCATCAACATGACAATAATCCGGACTTTTTGAAGTGCATATTGGTGACAGACGAATCTACGTTCACGCGTAATGGGGTGAATAACTTTCGCAAGACTCATGTTTGGTCATTTTCAACAAACATTTTCGGTGAATGTTTTGGCTGGCATGGTGAACGGTATGCTCATTGGACCATTTATTCTCCCAAATCGATTGGATGGGATGCAATACCTAGACTTTTCACGCAACATTTTGCCTGCCTTGTTAGAAGATGTGCCATTAAGTGTAAGACAATCAATGTGGTTACTGCGCCTGCTCGGTAGCGCTTCAGCTGATTTCATTTTCTGTTGGAGCGGTATGATTTCGGGCAGAGACGTACTTAGCCCTTCTCGTCAACTGGAGAGTGAGTACTTTTTCCTTTATTTTTTTTTACTTGGTCGCCCTCGTTTCACTACACATTACCTTTGTTATTTTAAGGGTAGTTGTTTCTGAAAAGGATAACCCCAACTTTGCGGACACCCTGTATAATTTGTATACGCAATACGTTGAGGCCGAAATAGGCGCAAGAGTCACGATAAAAAAGTGAAATTTTACATTTTGCATTTTTTCTCAAAATCTAAAAAAGAGTATACCTAATCAACCGTGAGAGGGCGTTTTAAAAGTATAAAGACGCGCTATACCACTTTGCAAAGGTTAAATCGAAGATATGAAAAAATCCAAAGCAAAGATGTCCATGTTTCGATAAACAGCGATTGGTCAAGATCTTTATAAAGCGGGAAACTGTCGAACGGAAACGAATAAAGAGATAAAAATACCTTTATCCTGGAGTCCGAAGTGTGGGCTTTCTGATGCAAAAATTGCCAGGTCCGTAGCTCGGTTATCTTCGGAGAAGATAGATGCTGAATATCGAAAAGCACGTTTAACACCCAAAGAAAGCCAATTTTCCAAGCTGTGCCCTAAACGAAGCTCTTCTGCGTAATTTATAGTATCTACTCGTCGATATGTACAAAATGCGTTGTATGAAATTCCTTTTCTCTTTGCTCTAGAAAAGTTTTTGGTGAAAATTTCTAGAAAAAGCTAAGCTGCAAACGTGACCGATCTCAAGTTACAAATGTACATTTCCAACCAGATGGAATATGGTCTATCAAATGTGAAACCTATGAAGTAAATAAAACAGTGCCTAAAACACTTCCTTGTGGAACACCAGAATTCTCAGATTGTAGACACTTTATCGTGAATCTATCAGATAAATAGTTATTAAACCACTTCGTACTGTTTTTTACAATAGTTCAATATCGCCATCTTCCATAACACCTGCTGATGATCCCAAGAATGAAGATTGACTGACGAATGCATGTATTGTTTGATTGATAACAGGAACGACGAGCTGTACAAAGAAAAAAGCACGACGACGCAACCCCCGCCAGTGTACAACTTTTACACGCCCCCGCCAGCACCTGATGGCTATGTGCTAGCAGCCCAACCGCAGGCGCCTGTGCCTCAAAGAGGCCCACCTCAAGCGATACCTCAAGCACCCGTTCAGGTACCTGCTCAGTTCCCGCTTCCCATGGATAGGAGGCGCTCCAGGCCAATTGCGCCCAGAAGGAGACCTCAGTACGACTACTACGATGAGGAGGATTATGAGGAGAGGCCAAGGATGAACAGAAGGTAATAGCACAGAATCTAGATGTGTTACATTCAGAAAGCATCGCTTTTAGGTATTTTCTGAAGTAACGGAGAGCTATTGAAACTATACTAAGTGACATATAAATCCGAACACCCAGTTTAAATGGTTTTATTTTAATAAAATTTTGTGTAAGTACTTAATGAAGCATAATAAGTAAATGATAAAAATTTCAAAATGATTGCACTGCTTTAAAGTCCTTTGACCTTTAATAATGTGTGGATGCACCCTGATGTGCTACGCATTCTCCAACGCGCCTAGGCATTCTTCTGATCAGGTGGTCAATGCCCTCCTGTGGTATCTCACTCCAGTCAACCACCAACTCCTCGCGAAGTGCTTCTAGAGTCTGAGGAGGACGTTGCAAATTGAGCAATCTCCTACCCATCATATCCCACACGTGCTCAATTGGGGATAAGTCGGGAGATCTTGGTGGCCATGGTAACAATGTGACATCATTATGTTGAAAGAAGTTTATTGTGACTCTTGCAACATGTGGTCGGGCATTATCTTGTTGGAAAGTTGGATCTGCCAGGGTGTCAAGAGAGGGTAAAAGATGGGATTCTAGAACTTCGTGGATATAACGCTGCGCGTTCGTGTTACCTCTGATGAAGATTAAAGGTGACCTGGAACCATAAGCTATAGCACCCCAAACCATAACTCCAACAGTGTGATGAACATGTCTTTCAACAAAAAACTGTGGATTCCTCCTTTCACCACGTCGCCTTCTAACCCTGGCACGACCATTGTGCATGCCTAAACAAAATCACAAAATCGAGACTCGTCACTAAAGACAATACTGTTCCATTCCTGATCCCAGAGTGACCGTTGTCTGCACCACTCAAGGCGATTACGTCGGTGTTCTCGAGTTAAAGGGAGGACCCAGTGTGGCCGGTATGAAAACAAGCCAAAACTTCTCATTCGTCGGTAAACACTTCGCATGCCAATAGGTCTTCCGTGTTCTGCAAACCATTCATTTGCAATGGACCTGGTAGTGGAGAAACGGTCCCTTAAGGCCAATAATCTTAGGCGGCGATCTTCATGGTCTGTTGTTCTACGGCGGCCTCCAGTGCCCCTTGCTCTTTGCGTACGGCCTTCTCGAAGCCATGCCTGACGACACCTAACCACAGTGTCTACACTTCTTTGCACTCTAACTGCAATTGCCCGAAAAGAAAGTCCAGCTTCCCGAAGTCCCACTATACGGCCCCTATCAAACTCACTAAGTTGACGAAATCGTACAGGTCTCCGTACTCTAGGCATCGTAACCGATCGTAAAGGATGTCAAGAACCAAAATCCGCCAACGTTGATTCTTTACTGCGGCTGAAATATTCATTTTTAGAGCGTTAGTGAATTAAAAAAAAGCAGTATAAAAACCGGAATGTCCGACTGATAAGGCTGAAAATTTTTTCACTTGTTATTTACAGTAAGATAAATACATTCACCAACTTTTATTAAAATAAAATCATTTAAACTGGGTGTTCGGATTTATAGTGAGGTAGTGACTTTACCTGCATTTTTATTAGCTAGAGTTTGCCAATTTTTAATGACGTTTTAGAAGCTCCTGATCGTTTGGTGGCCAACATTGCCAAATGGCCGGTGATGTCGGTAGACGGGGCGAAATTTCCAAATTGCAACGTTGTCAAGTGGGTGGGGACTTTGAACAAAATGTTGCAGTTACTCTGCGCCGCTGGCGGCTTATTCATGTCAGTTCTCAGAACTAATTGTGTGGGCCTAATTGACTTACTTGATCCATTTAATTCCATTGGTATACATGTTCGCAGATACAGAGGGATGACGGCATAGCGTACGAAATGCAGAGGCGACCTAGTTGACGCTACATGTTTATTCTCTTACAGGAAAAGGCCGAGGAGGCCAATATATTACGACGATTACGATGAGGACTACGAGGACGAAAGGTACGACAGAAGAGGCGGTAACCGAAGACGCAGACCGCACGATCGAAGGCCGGTTAGAAGAAACAAGGATAGGAGGAGCAAATATGATTACGATGATGAAGATGAGGACGATGAATTCATTCTCGGTAAGCCGAACTTCTTGGAATGAATCAATAAATATCTGCATACCGACTATTAAAGAATGTTAACCTACTGGTCCTCTGTCCTACTGGTCCTCTGTATCAATAATAATTGAATTGTCTTATTACAGAAAAGAAGGCCAAAAATAAGAGGAGGAAATTCCTGTACGACTACGACGAAGAAGAACAAGAAGAAGACAGGATCGCGAAAAGGAGGCCACAAGGTCGAAGAGAAGAAAAACCGTACCGCAACAAGCCGAAGAGACCGGTTGATGTTGAAGATTATGACGACTACGAAGATCGTACTGACAAAAGGAAATTGAAGGTATGCCATAATAATTATTTACATTTGAATAGAGAAGAAGAGGGAAAGAAGATGCGATACTTTTGTTTTTTCTTCCATTACAAAAGATACCATAAAGAATAGTACTTGAACATACCACATGAAAACACTAATGCAAGTCAGTTTATTAAATTTGAAGTAAATAATATTGTAAGCTAACAATTTAAATCTCGCCATGAAGACGGATCTACAACCGTAACGACGTCACTTATGTTATAGGTCATCAAGTTTGTTTTGGATCCTCATAGCAGCCGCAGTGCCCTGGCATTTAGGCTTCTCCCTGCGCGGAAGCTTCGGTGTAAGAATTTCTCAGACATATTTTTCTTCCCTTTTATACATTCCAGGATGAAAAACGCAGAGACCTAGAGGCAGAAACGAGCAGATTCAAAAAGCACCCTCGCCTGGGCGTTCGAAGACCTCCCAGTGAAGAGCACGAAGATGACCTCCAACAAGCGGAGCCTAAAAGCGAAAGATCTAGAAAAAGCAACAGAGAAAGCACGTATAAACGTCCCCCGGAATCCGAATCTGGAAGGGCGATCGTGAAACCAGTGAGCGGCACTCTTTACGACCGACCCAGACTCGCGCCGAAGATCAACCTGCCTGTACCAAAGAACGTTGCTGATAAGTACTCTTACAAAGGGATGACTTCGCAGGGAAGCAAGAACAAAGAAAATCTCCAAACTGAAGCGCCTATTACGACATCCACCACTACTACCGAGAAGCCAGTTGATGCGGATAGTGCTGAAAGCTCTACAAGAGGTAAGACTAAATTAGAGGAGCTGGAGGTTCTATTATAAAAAATGAATTTCGAAATTTGGAAACTCAAAAATAGCTTGAAGATTTGGAAACGTCTGAAAATAATTTGATAATGATGAAAAATGTTTTGGATGTTTTGGAACAAATCGAAATTATAAATTTTTAAAAAAATTGAATTTTGAAAGGTGGACATTTTTGGAAATCTGGATAAATTTCGAAAACAAAAAAATTTTGGAAATTTTTAAATATGGAAAGAAATTTGATTTTAAAAATTGCGAAAAAAGTTCAAGTTAATTTTCACCTATTTCAAGAAGTTTGATTAACTTGAAAATTTGCACAGGAGTCACAACACAATAATTCTGGAAAAAAAAATCGAAAAAAATTAGAAATGTTGGAAAAAAATGGATATTTCGATATTACATAAACAGGAATGAAGTAAAGTAAAATTTATTGTCATACATAAGATATACCAAAAAATCGACGCTTTTGTTGTCGTTTTGAGACCAAAAATTCAGATTAGCACGCTTTTATTAGCTTGACTTTTATATATGTGTTTGATTGTAACTCAATCTTTCAACCTAATTTTCACCAATCTCAAGAAGTCTGCTTAATTTGACAATTTGCACGGGGGTCAAGGTCCGATGACATTACAATAATCGTGGTAAAAAATCGAATTTAAGTATTAAATTTTTTTTTAAAATTGGAATTTTCGAAATATGAAAAGGATTGGAAAATTTGAAAAATTTTCGAATATTTCGAAATTTGAAAGTAGTTGGAAATTTTGAGAAAAAGTTTGTAAATCTTGAGATTTGGAAGTAAATTTGAATTTAAAAATTGGGAAAAATTTAATACGATATAAAAAGGTTACATAAACAGGAATGAAGTAAAATAAGATTTATAGTCAAATATGAAATATACCAAAAAACGCTTTTATTAGCTTGACTTTTATGTGTTCTTCTTTATACAGGGTGCCCGCAAAGTTGAGGTTTTCCTTTTCAGAAACAACTACCCTTGAAATAACAAAGGTAATGTGTAGTGAAACGAGGGCGACCAAGTAAAAAAAATAAAGGAAAAAGTACTCACTCTCCAGTTGACGAAAAGGGCTAAGTACGTCTCTGCCCGAAATAATACCGCTCCAACAGAAAATGAAATCAGCTGATGCGCTACCGAGCAGACGCCGGCGGTGGTGCAGACCACGGTCAGACGTAACAAATATGACCATCGTGCAGAAACCACATTGATTGTCTTACACTTAATGGCACAACTTCTAACAAGGAAGGCAAAATGGTGCGTAAAAAGTCTAGGTATTGCATCCCGTCCAATCGATTTGGGAGAATAAATGATCCAATGAGCCTACCATTCACCATGCCAGCCCAAACATTCACCGAAAATGTTTGTTAAAAATGTGCCCGACGGACAGCGTGCGGATTTTCTACTGACCAAACATGAGTGTTGCGAAAGTTATTTACCCCATTACGCGTGAACGTAGATTCACCAATATGCACTTCAAAAAGTCCGGATTATTGTCATGTTGATGCAACAGCCACTCACAAAACCGCACTCTTGCTGGAAAATCGTCAGGTTGAAGGGCTTGTACACGTTGGACGTGAAACGGATACAGCCCCTCTTCACGCAGCGTTTGCCACACTTAGTTTTTAATACTTGCTCTTCTCTAGCCACGTCTCTAGTGCTTGTTGCAATCGATTATACGGGTTCGTTTACCTCTACACGCGTGACCGTAACCGTCGGTTGAAGGTTGCATACTGACCTGACACACTGACCCCGACCCTGTTCTGTCGTCGGGTTGAGCTAGTGTCCTAGTACCAGTCGGGGATGTCGCGGCTACAGGACGGTATTCAGATATTTTTGATGTTGCAGAGCCCTTTATCTCGGTTCCCTTAAAACATTGGTGTATATGGTACTAAGAAAAATTGCTTATGTTTTCAAGATCTACACGTCGTGTAAAGGAAAACCCCAACTTTGCGGACACCCTGTATATTCTATGGAATCTTATAATCTAATTTTCACTAATTTCAAGAAGTCTCATTAACTTGAAAATTTGCAATACAATAATCTTGGAAAAACATTCGAATTTGAAATTTTTAAAAACTGTGAATTTTGAAATTTGGAAAAAACTAGATTTGAAAATTTGTAAAATAATTGTAAAATTAAAAAAAATAAAATAATTTGAAGATTTGGAAATTTTGAAAAAAAAATTGAGACTTTGAAACATCTTTGGAAATTTCGCAATTTGAATAATTTCAGATAGACCTGCGGCATAAGGCAATGATATAAATTCCTTATTCTGATCGTAAGCGTGTTCTTTTCTATTATAAATTTGTCTGGGTAGTTATTCTGGGACAGAATCTCCCTCACCTTCTTTAGATTAGCAGTTTTTCGTAACTCTACACTTTTTTACTATTAGGTTTCAAGAGATCGAAACCAGACAGCTCCAGAGAGGTGCTCAAGAGTGTGAGGAAAAGGATCAAGGAAGAACAAACCACTTCGACTACTTCTTCTGTGTCATACTCAGAAAGGATGTCACCGATCATAAGGAAGTTCAAGAGGCCATTCCTGCCAAGTAGAGGAGGAAATCCTTACACAGGACGAAGTTTGGAACCCATTGGAGAAAAGGCTGCTAATCCGGTTACCGAGGAAACTATCGTGCAAGATGACAGGATCGTCGCCGCAGAAGGTGATGATTATTATGACGAAATCCAGGTGAAAACGCCTTCGTCAGTTCGGGTAAAAAATACTCAAGGTATCCGTTAGTGTTTCCAGATTTCAAACACCTTTGAACATAGGCATATTAATAATAATCATAATAATAATAAGCCTAGCTTAACACCAATCACAGAGCAAAAACTAAAAATATACAAAATTAAACAAAACATGAAAAGTTCCTATCCTTTTCTCATCGAAGTTGGCTTGTTCAGAAATAAATGGATCCATGAGTGGTCTTCGGCAAGTCCTAACTTTTTGTGATAGTGTACCCGCTCCCAAACGTTCTACGATTTCTGTAAATTAAGGGACCAGACTGGCAACGTAGCATTCGACCTGGCAACCCTGGTCGCGCCGGGTTTCGACGGAGACAGGGGAACATGTGATCCGCCTTCAGTACAAGTTTGAACTCGCTCGAATCATTTGGTTGTCAGTAGCGATTTTTTTATTTGTGAAAGTTTTTCCTATAATGAATGATATCAATTTCGAGCAACGGTGTCTGAAAAATTCGTTTTACCATGAATATGCTAATGCTAAATCGACTGCCGCCTTGCGTTTCAGATGACAGCAGCGAAAAGGCGGGACCGATACGAATAAAGGTGCCGATACGCGTAAAAATGACATCCGACTCGCCTATAGCCACCACGACTACCACAACTGAGTCCAACAAAGTGAACGAAGCTGACCTGCTGGACGAAAACTACGATGTGACCATCAACGAGGCCTTGAGTCCGATCATTCCCAATCTGCCAATCAGGTCGTATCCCACCGGGTTTGGCGGCGATTACAGGCAGAAAACCACGAAGTACGTCATTCTGGACCCGTTGACAGCTGGCGGACCGTACTACGTCAAATAGATCGAGAGCGCGATTGGAAGGGTTACCGTTGGCTTTGTCATGGTTTTGTTTTTTGGAAACTATGACTAATTTCTTGTAGGAAAATTTTTGTTTGGGTTTCAACAACTTTGGATGTTCAAAAAATTCTCGCCAAATCATAGAAGGTGCAAGATAATGTCAATTCGCTGGAAAATAACGACTTAAAACATGTCGAACTACGTCTTTGTTTTCTTTTCACAAAGTAGATGCTTTTGCTCTTCAATACAATTATTCTACAATAAACGGAAAATGAAGAACAACAAGAGTTTTTCGCAAAATGATGTATGGCCTAAAATAACCTCAAAAAAATGTTGCATACTTTGAAACATATTTTTCAACCAGCAATTTTTATATAGGGTGACTTCGAAGTTCAGTCATTTATTTTAACAGTGAGTAGATCTGATCAAAAGAAATGTTTTTTTCCTTTACCATTTTTCTGGTAAAATTAAAGTAACAAAGTTATAGCCCTTTAGAAGTTTGAGTACCGCCCTGTCTCAATAATAATATTATGTGCTCGTGTTTGGCGACAACGGATATAATCCGCCTTATCGGTTCATCGCATCGGAAACAAAAAAGCGAAAGAATTTGGAACGATGTTTTTACAATTATTTTATTCAGTTCAGTTATACATACAGTCAGTGTCAGTCGAAGGGTTTATCTCTGGTCAGTCGGTAACGCGTGTGAATAGTGTCTGTTGCGTGGCTCAAACGAAATAAAAAATGGCACATGTTTATGCGGATCGGTTTCCCAATCGAGTGCAACCAACCCCTCGTACCTTTGTTAATGTAGTACAACGGACTCGTGAATCAGGTGACTTAAGACCTCACAGGGGACCTCACGATCAAATACAGGTCCGCACTGAAATACTTGTCGGGAGGATACTTTATAAAACAAGGTAAAATTTTTTTTTATTTTTTTTTTATTTTTACACACATATTTTGGTTTATCTTCCTTCTACAATCATTATCTGAAAATTAATGACTCAACTTCAAAGTCACCCTGTATATGCACGTCAAAATTCAGCTTTTTCTTTACATATTTTGTAATTTTCGTTGATTATGGAACTTAGTACTAAATAACGTAGAGACAACTTTCTGAAAATATATTATTTTAAAAAGAAAAGTCTGACGCCCTCTAACGGTCAAATAAAGCACTTTTGCATGGAGGTAAATCGTGTCCGAGCAACTTATTTTGTGTTTCTATCATTTTCAGCCACTGCCTTCGTTAGGAGCTTTTCGTATCCCCTATTTCACGAGTATCCATCACGCTTTGACGTCTACTGAGGTGAACAGCTGATCAGCGAATGACATTTTTGCGTTGGTCCGCAAAGTTGGCAATAATCGATCAGGTATACATCTAGTAAAACTTGTTTGTGGCGTTTCGTTTTTTGTATGCAAATGAACTTTTCTGAATAAACGAGATGTTAGCAAGTACAAAATGAATCTGAAGCGTACAAAAAACCACAACAAAATTCGGTTCTGTCTACCTGGCGTTGACGGATCCGTCAGAATTATGTGTCCTGTGCCGATATGGGGAATTTTGAGATATTACTAGATGATCAGCTGTCATTCTGCCGTTATGGATACTTGTGAAATAGAGTATATATGCTTATAAAAATGGTGAATGCACATATCCATGAAACGTTGAACCAGTATTTAGGTATATCTTTCCCGTATTAACCATTATACGCTTTTGACCTGTATAATCATCGATTTTTTTTTTTAAAGCCTTGTCGTCGAATGGTAACCCTTATTTGAACGTTTATATGAATGTCTTCCAATTATCCTATCTAATTTTAGAGATCGTTGCCTTTTTTACACTGTGGAAGGGGTGCTTCGTGTCGTCCTTGCTCATTACATATTTAGTATTGATTTTCAAAAATCTGCCTTATTTAATTTTTTCTAGTTTTTCATCACATGGTGGGCCATTAAGCTGAACAGATTTTAAAAAATCGTAGAAAAAAACTACAAAGCGTAGGGAAGATGGTAATTTAATTTTTTTAAAATAAGATTGAGATGTGAATTTTGCTCAAGGGGGTCGATCATCGGCAAGAGCTAACTTTTGTGAAGTGTACCTGCCCTCAAAACTTTTTGAAGACCAGAAGTATCAAATTTTTCCAGGGGAAACTCCTAAACAATCATCAAAACTATACATAAAATCATACTAAATATGCATATTTTAAGGTCCAACCGGATTCCTAGGGGAGGGGGGCATGAATATGTGATGTAAACTGCTTTTAAGCGCATTTTATTGTGTGAAACAAAAGGCAAGGTTCCCAAAAATTGTACATGAAAGAATGGTTTGAGTGATTCGTATTAATTAAGCCATATAGTTGTGCAGAAATAGTAGTATAGGTGATATTTGTTTCGATGTTATATCTTAATTATTTTTTTACGTCAAGTTGTAAATAAATTTTTATCTTTAATATTTATGTGTTTCATCTCAAATCGGAATATAGAGTCAAGTAGATTGACTCAGTACATAATCTCAAACGTCAAACCTAAACAAATTACTAGTATACGATTTTTCGAGGAAGGAAAAATAAGTGAAGGCGGGATTCGAACTCCCATCGCCTCTATTCGTCCTATTTTCGCTAAAAAAATTCGTAAATCCCTGAATCATTTTGAAAAATCGTGGAAAGTGTGCCATTTCGGTAGAAATACCGAAAAATCGGTAGATTTGGCAACACTGACGACTGGCAACTAGCGAGAAAGCCACCAAGTCGGCAACTTTGATCCTAGTACACACTTTCGAGAAAAGGTGGCAGCACCACGATGATTATATTGTGGCGCCGTCTACTGGGAAAAGTTTTAAATAACACTTTCAGATTTAGGCTGTAGATGGCGACACCCTGTAAAATAGAGATGGGCAAAACTTTAAAAATTCAGGCTTTTTCGATATTCCCTAATAATAATAATATCGATATTTTGCTCATCCTTAGTGTCAAGTGACAGCAATTCTAACCTCACTTTTTTAAAATTAGAATTTATTTTTAAAAACCAGAAAATAATTTTTACTTTATCGTTTGATTCTTGATACTTCGTTGTGTGATACAAGAATGGTTCGAATACAAGTATTTTCTTCATTTATCACTCAACTACAGATAAATAGACCGATGTGTACTACGGCTATACCAAAACCAGCAAAGAAGCAACTAATAATAAGTTGCAAACGAAAATCGTTCGATCACTATAGTACTACGGTATATAATAAATTAGATTCAATTCCGTTGGCATCTAAAGGCTGGACGCATTCGAAAGCAAAAGGGGACTTTTTTGTGGTAAACCCTGTTGAAAACTCATTTGAAGAATTGCAGTTTTCTTTTCAAGAATTGAATGTTGATAATCGTTTCATGGACACCTTGAAAAGTGAGGGCATAACAAAAGCTACAGATTTCCAAAGAAGAGCTATAGAAACGGTTGGGACAGGTAAGGTTCTGCATCATTAAATACCTACGTGCACCATATTTCATCACTTGTAGTTAAAGGACAAATTTGTAATGACTTAGAGTGAATGTGCCAGTATCCGGGACACTACCAGTGGTCAGACAAATGTTATATTATTGCTAAAAACCTACCTTAGTAATCAGTTTCAAAAAGTTGGTCTAAATCAACAGTACTGTACCGCACAAAAAATTTGTACCAGTGTACCACAAGGTTCTGCGCTAGAACCTCTATTATTTTTATGATATCGGGCTTTCCAATAGAGACTTGACAGCTTTAAACTTTCACTGTGAACGCACCTTTAAATCAATTACCAAACTGTCAGTGTCAAAACATTCAGTAAAGAAAACATTTTCATCAAGTTGATGTCCCCGAATGAACAATGCTTACAAATAATTAAACTTTTTTTATTGTAATTCTCATCCCAGTAGACACCTAAACTATGAAGTTCGGTTAGCTTCCAAAACAAAGAAATTAATGATGATGGATCCCTCAAGTACTAAGAACTCCGGACGTAAACTCACTCCACTCTCTGAATGTCCAGGTGGAGGGTAGGCTCCAGAGAACAACATCGAAGATAAAATTTGTTTTTCTAACATCTGCAGGATTAACAGCAACATTAATGCTGTTCATCATTACCTGCAATCCAATCGTCCCGCTGTGCTTTTCTTGGCGGAGACAAAAATCTCAGAGTCTGCACCGATTAACCATCTTAACTTCCCAAACTACGAGGTGCACTCCAATCTGAGAAAGAACGGGGGAGCTGTGGCTTTTCTCCGCAACAGTCTTTCCTGCTCCAGAGGTGTTTCTTTGGAATCAGGCTGGAAGGACATTCTGTGGCTTCACCTCAACTCCAAATTTATCTGCTGCTTTTATGGCTCTCCCTCGGACCATAACTGGGATGACCTACTCGAATACCTCGCCATCCAGATCGACTTCCTGAACATTAATCACCCCGCTTCACAGGTAGTTCTTCTCAGTGATTTCAATGCCCATAATGAGCTTTCGTTGGGCTCAAACAAGACCGATGCAGCAGGTCGTGCAGTCGAAGCATTCGCTGTTACTCAAGGGCTGACCCAGCCGGTGACGAGCCCTACTTTTTTCCCCCGCATCTCGCACACGCCAGTAGCCTGCTGGATCTCTTTCTGACCACGCATCCTGTCCCTTACAGCACTGCTCTCCTGTCCCCCCTGGGTAACTCAGACCACGATGTTGTGGAGGTTAGGTTTCGGTCAGTACCTGCTGTTGGAGCAGAAACTCGTACAGCCCGCAAAACTTGGCATTACGGACATGCCGACTGGGAGGGGCTCAGAGACTTCTTCTCTAGCTTTCCTTGAAGAGATGTCGGTTTCACTGACGCGGACGCGTCGGCTGTCTATTCTTCGATAACCGAAATTATCCACGTTGGAATGGAGGAATACACCCCTCACACAGTGAAAGTTCCTAAACCGGGGTCCAACGGTTGGTTTAACAAATCGTGTGACACTGCTCGCCAGCAGAAGATCAAGGCACACATAACCTTCTTACAAAACCCCACTGTATAGGCGGAGAGTACTAGCCATTTCAAAAACATCCGTCCTTTGTGCCGGATCATTAATTGACGCGTCCTAATTTTTCAATCATGCACTACAATGTCTGGTCGATTATTACTATAATAATGATATTTTAAGGTTTCGTTTGAACGGTGTTCTTAAAGCTTGCACATTTTATTTAGGTTCTCATGTGATGTTGGCAGCAGAAACAGGATGTGGCAAAACACTATCCTATCTCCTCCCTATTATCCAGAAGGTAGCAGAAAATAAATCGTCTGGAATGAACGCGCCCAGAGCGATAGTTGTGGTGCCAAACCGTGAACTAGCTTATCAAATTGGGGAGATGGCAGAAACTCTTGGGCAATGCCTTGATGTCAAAGTAAAGATTATTGTAGGCGGTAGAACCAAACAGCTAATGATGTTTCCACATTTTGAAGAGGTTGATCTGCTTGTAGCTACACCCGGTGTTTTGAGCAAGTTGTCCACAGTGGGAGTGTACAAATTAGGCGAGGTAAACCAGCCAGGATACGAGAGCTAAACATTAAAATATAGTTACCACAATGACCTCTATCCACGTTTAAAGTGAAACACCCTGTATAACATTTTTTGCGAATTGCTGTGTCCATAAATGGACGCTAACGCGAGTCTAAAAGAACTACGTTTTTTAGAGTTGTCACTAAGATTATGTGGTTGTTTGAAATTCGTCGTATGTACAGTAATGGACAAATATGAATACAGTGAAAGCTCTCCTTGCGGACAGCTCCTATAAGCGGACATCTCTTTTAACCGGACAAAGTTCCTGGAACCGAATTTCAGCCATCAATTTTCAATGTTAAATGCATTCCGATAAACGGACGCGGACACTAGATATTCCTGTTTGTGATCAAAAAATCTCCCATAAGCAGACGCGAAACTCTAATACCCGGACGATTTTTTAGTTCCGCTTATTGCAATGCACATATCTGCATACATAAAATTCGGTAATTCCCCGATTTATATTAGGTGATTCCCCATTTACGCATTTCGTTGGGTAGCCTGTATGTAATCTTGTGGCTTGTCTTCAGTTCAGGCAAATTCGTAGTTGATTGAGTTACGTATTTTATTATTGTAACTGTAAAATGGCACCAAAAAAAAGGATGCTCTCGTTAAAGGAAAAGATGGAAGTTGTTAACGTATTAGACAGAGAAAGTGTTTCAGTTCGTCATTTGGCAAAGAGGTTTAATATTGGGAAAACGCAAGCAGCTGAAATTGCCAAAAATAAGGAAGATATCAGGAGTAAATGGCAATCAGGAACTAATATAAATCAAAAGAAGGATTTTTTAAAAAAGGAAGGTTTTGCTATAGACAAAACATGTTTTGAGTGGTTTGTGAAAGCTAGAAGTCAGAACATTCCAATCTCAGGGTCGTTAGTGAAAATGAAAGCTAAAGAAATCGCCACTACTTTGGGCTATAATAATTTCAGTGCGTCCGACGGGTGGCTGCAAAAGTGGCGCAAGAGACATAGTGTGAGTTTCAAATGCATATCTGGCGAAGCTGCTGCAGTAGATCAAGTTGATGTGTCACAATTTTTGGAGAAACTTCCGTCCATGTTGCTTGGCTACAAACCAGAAGATGTGTACAACGCAGATGAGAGTGGACTTTTTTTCGCGCATTGCCCGACAAAACTCTGTCCTTTAAAGGAGAAACATGTGTGGGTGGAAAGTTGTCTAAAGATAGACTAACCATTTTATTCTGTGCAAATATGGCCGGTGAAAAATGCGATTTGATTGTGATCGGGAAAGCGGCTCGTCCCCGTGCTTTAAAAAACGTTGCTATTAAGGATCTACCAGCGACTTGGAAATCCAACAAAAAGGCATGGATGACCCGAGAAATCATGTCTGAGTGGTTAGGTCGAATTTGACCGGAAAATGAGAATCCAAAAAAGGCAAGTTCTTTTATTTTTAGACAATGCATGCTCTCATCCTCGTGATATGAAAATGAAAAATGTGAAAATTATATTTTTACCGCCAAACACAACTTCTGTTTGTCAGCCCATGGATCAAGGTGTCATACAGAACTTTAAATTTTATTATCGGCACTTGATTTTAAAACATATTTTAACAAAAATTGACGATGGTCAAAGCTTATCTGAGCTTACAAAGTCTATCAATGTGTTAGAAGCTTTGTATTTTATAAAAACAGCATGGAATAAAGTAAATTCCTCTACAATTAAAAACTGTTTTGGCAAAGCTGGATTCAGAAAAAGTGAATCTAGCTCAGAATTTGCTGAGCAAAATTATTGCGATGCTGAAGACGATCTGCCCTTAGCGACACTTGCTCTGTTACTGCGACATGCCAAACATTTAGGAGTAGCAGATCCCCAGAAAGTAGATGATTTCGTGGTCATAGACAATAACATAACAACAGAAGAAAATGCCATTGGCAACTTTTCGAATTTGGATGTAGAAAGCCCAGGCCAACTTGAATATGGTAGTCCAAACGACTCAGAAGAAGAAGTGGAACTGGTGGACTCACTAAGCGGTTCAAAAACGATAAATTCATATGGGGAAGCTCTAAATCATATTACTATATTGAAAAAATTTGCTAAAGATGATTTCACTGCATTTCAACATTTGAAAAATTTAGAAAGTTATTACGAAAATTGTCTCCTTCAGCAAAAGATGGTGAAATTTCGTCAGACAAACATTTTAAACTTTTTTCAACAAGCTACAGAATAATGTTTTTTTTAAATTCTCGTACCATGTATTGAAGCATTTATGTTTTTTTATGCGTATATGTACATATATTATACGTATATAGATATAGCATAAATACATACTTTAAAAATGTGGCGAGTTTCTGTTTCATTTTTCTCATGATTATATACCCCGTTATTTATAATCTATACTTACATACTCTCTTTTAAACGGACACCTCCCATAAGCGGACAAAAGTTACGGAACCGTGAGTGTCCGCTTATGAGAGCTTTCACTGTATTTACCTAAATACCTTTAGAAAACGAATTCATACTTCATTGATCCATAAACAAATGCGTTATAAGTAGAAAAACTAAATTCCTTGTTTTTACATTATCCGCAATGAACACAATACAAGTCTGAACATAAGCACTTTTTTATTAGGGACAAAAATATGTAGACCAATTCTTTTCAACATTAGTTTAGTACAGTTTCGTGTCAGAAGAGGATTAGTTTGTGTTCATCGAGTATTGTGGAATAAGTTGAGTGATTTTTTAAGACCATGCCGCGTGGTCCAGAAATTTCTTTCGATGTGAAAACTAAGATCATAGTTATACAAAGATGGTCAACGTCAAGTCGACATTCACAAAAATTTGAAGCTGAAGCGTAAAGCGGTTTTGGGCAATATTGAACAAATATAAACAAAAAGGTATCTTGGAAGCCTCTAAGAAAAGTGGTCGGCCTCGAAAACTAAATGCTAGATCAGTTAGATTAATAAAAGTAATTTCGTCCAAAGATCCGTTGAAAACCCCAAGATAAATAAAACCCGAAATCGAGACAAAAGGAATTGTTTAGTGTTTCTACGAAAACTATAAGTAGAAGATTAAATGATTTGAAGTTATTTGCACGTCGCCCGAGTTAGAAGTCACTAATCTCGAGGAAAAACCGTAAGGACCGATTACAATTTGCACGGTTACATCTTGACTGGAAGAGGGTATGTTTCAGTGACGAATCCAAGTTCAATATGTTTGGATCAGATGGTGTTTATTACGCTAGATGTCCTAGTGAACAAAGATTGAACCCCAAGTACACTTTGCCCACTGTCAAACATGGAGGCGGGTCTGTTATAGTTTGGGGGTGCTTTTCGGGGTTTGGGATGGGACCTTTACATAGAATAGATGGCATTATGGATAAGTTTGTATACACAGACATACTAAAGCATGTCATGTTACCCTATATGGAAGACAATATGCCCTTAAGATCAATCTTCCAGCAAGATAATGACCCGAAGCACACTTCAAATCTCGCAAAGAAATTCTTTCTGGATGGAAAAATACCAGTTCTCAAATGGCCTTCACAGTCTCCCGATATAAACCCCATTGAAAATCTATGGGAATACTTAGATAAGCAAATACGAGATAAAAATAGATTATTCAAACAAGGATGAACTTTTTACCGCTTTAGAGCAAAAGTGGAGACAGATTGATGAATCTTATATCAAGGAACTTCTACAATCTATGGCCAGACGATGCCAGGCGGTGATTGATAATAATGGTTATGCCACAAAATATTAACACAAACATGGTTCGTTTTCTATAATTCAATGAACTTTGCTTCTTTTTTCTATAATTGTTTACGTATACAGATTGGTGTATTAATAACACAAGTTAAAAAAGAAATACAGCACAATATTAACTTGTCTATATACTTTTGTCCATTACTGTATATCAACTAAAAAGTAAATAAACAGCAAGTAGCTAATACAAGCCGTTATCTGCACCAGCACTGCACTGTGATAGGGTTAACTTTGCAGCTCCTTTATAAGGCGTTTACGATTTAACTTTCACTGTTGGTCTAAGTCTTCTGTTTCAGCTAGCATATTTTTTTTAGGTAGCTCACACAATCCTAGACGAGGCAGATACCCTGATGGATGATAGTTTCCTGGAAAAGCTCACCACCTTGATCAACAGAGTGCCACAATCGCAAATAATACTCGTAACAGCTACGCTGCCCAGAAAACTACCGGATATACTGAAACCTTTCGAACCCACCTTAAAATACGTTATTTCACCGAAGATCCACAAGCCATTGTTGAATATCCATCAAAAATTCTTACGATTAACGCACTCTGCAAAACCTGGATATTTGCTGCAAATAGCAAAAGCAAACAAAAGTCCGATGCTCATATTCAGCAACAAAAATGAAACTTGCAATTGGGTATCGTTGTTTCTGTCGGAAAACGGCGTAGATTGTGCTAATATAAACGGAGACATGAACTATGCGCTGAGGATAGACCAGTGGAATAAGTTCGCCAGCGGTAAAGCAAACATTTTGTCAGCTACGGATGTGGGCAGCAGAGGATTAAATACGATACAAGTGAGGCAGGTGTTGAACTATGACTTCCCTCTCTTTGCCGCTGATTATATTCACAGGATAGGGAGAGTCGGCAGATTCGGTAGTCCTGACGCGTGCAGAGTGACAAATTTTCTTACGAGGCATACAGAAATTCAATTGCTGCAGCAAATAGAGGTAAGCACTGACTTCGATAATACGATACCTGTAAATTAAGTGGTAGCAGTAGACATTTATTTACTCCATTATACAGGGTGATTTGCAAGTCATGACCAAAAATGAAACTTATAAACGGACGCAGGAAAGTAAACGCATATTAAAACAAGAAAGATTGATATTCAAATCAAGTTGGGTACTTTATTTTGAAGGTTGTTGTATGAAAAATAATATCGCTCAAATGTTCACCACGACTGGATTTACAGACGTCCACGCGATGGTCGAAATTTTCAATGACATTTTGCAACATGGTCGGTTCTATGGCATTTATCTCGGCAATGATGTTGTTTTTGACTTCTTGGAGGGTGGCTGGTTTGTTGACGTAGACTTTGCTTTTCAAATATCCCCATAAAAAGAAGTCCAAGGGAGTCAAATCGCACGATCTCGGTGGCCATGGCACATTTCCTCTGCGCGAAATCACGCGATCACCGAAGAAGCACTGCAATCGATGGATATTCACGTTGGTTGTGTGGCATGTTGCACCGTCTTGTTGGAAATAAACATCGTCCATATCCATTCCTTCAAGTTGCGGCAAAAAATAGTCCTCTATCAGCACGTGATATCGCTCAGAATTGTCGGTAACGGCGTCCCCGGCCGCATTTTCCAAAAAGTAAGGTCCGATGATGCCTTTTGACCACAATGCACACCACACAGTCACTTTTTGAGGATGCATCGGCTACTCTTGATACTCACGGGGATTTTCGTTCGCCCAGATGCGGCAGTTTTGCTTGTTTACCGTCCCATTCAAAGTGAACATGATTTTTGATGAAAAATTGGCATCAATTTGGCGGTGTTCAAGGAGCCAATCTGAGAACGTTCGGCGCGAAAAATGGTCGGCCCGACGCAGCTCTTGCGTCAATTGGATCTTGTAGGCGTGTACATTCAAATCTTTGTGGAGAATGCGGGGCAAACTGGTTCTCGAAATGCCCAATTCTTGGGATCGGCGCGTTGTTGATTGTTTCGGATCGTCTCTCACACTCTCCTTCACAACAGCAATATTTTCCGGTGTGCGAACGCTCCTTGGCCGGCCAGAACCTGGCAGATTTGCCACAGAACCTGTTGCCTCGAATTTACGCACCAGACGACCGATGGTTGTTTCGTTTGGACGGTTGTTGCGACCGAAATGTTCACGGAGCGCGCGAAACGTGTTTTTTATTTTTGCACCATTTTTGTAGTGCTCTTGAATAACTTTAATGCGGTCTTCAATCGAATACGACTCCATAGCGATCAATGGTAAACATTCAACTAACAAAATGACATGTCGGTGACAGAAAACAAAGATGGCGTCTATGTCAAATTGACGTTTACTTTCCTGCGTCCCTATTGGACAACCCTTTACACAGGATCGCATTTTAAAGGGGGTCTTCTATGGAACATTTTTTCCTCGAAACCCCCCTTAAAATGCGGCGTTTAAATCGTCATTGGCATTGCACTTTTGAATGTTTAATAAAAAAACATAACAGACACTTTTCATTTTCAGCTTGCAATAAGAAGAAATGAACCTATTGAAAACGTAGACGGTAACATAACGAAGATAGTGCAGACGAAGATAGCAAAAAAGATGCAAAGAGTACAGTAGCAAGATAAAAAATTATATTAAGCATAAACCTAAACAACAAATAAACGTATAACAACTATTTTTTAATTTTTTATACCGTTAAGGAACTATATATACTAAGTGACATATAAATCCGAACAGGGTGCCAGGGTGTCAAGATAGGGTAAAAGATGGGGTTCTAGAACTTCCTGGATATAACGCTGCGCGTTCATGTTACCTCTGATGAAGATTAAAGGTGACCTGGAACCATAAGCTATAGCACCCCAAACCATAACTCCAACAGTGTGATGAACATGTCTTTCAACAAAAAACTGTGGATTCCTCCGTTCACCACGTCGCCTTCTAACCCTGGCACGACCATCGTGCATGCCTAAACAAAATCGAGACTCGTCACTAAAGACAATACTGTTCCATTCCTGATCCCAGAGTGACCGTTGTCTGCACCACTCAAGGCGATTACGTCGGTGTTCTCGAGTTAAAGGGAGGACCCAGTGTGGCCGGTATGAAAACAAGCCAAAACTTCTCATTCGTCGGTAAACACTTCGCATGCCAATAGGTCTTCCGTGTTCTGCAAACCATTCATTTGCAGTGGACCTGGTAGTGGAGAAACGGTCCCTTAAGGCCAATAATCTTAGGCGGCGATCTTCACGGTCTGTTGTTCTACGGCGGCGTCCAGTGCCCCTTGCTCTTTGCGTACGGCCTTCTCGAAGCCATGCCTGACAACACCTAACCACAGTGTCTACACTTCTTTGCACTCTAACTGCAATTGCCCGAAAAGAAAGTCCAGCTTCCCGGAGTCCCACTATACGGTCCCTATCAAACTCACTAAGTTGACGAAATCGTACAGGTCTCCGTACTCTAGGCATCGTAACCGATCGTAAAGGATGTCAAGAACCAAAATCCGCCAACGTTGATTCTTTACTGCGGCTGAAATATTCATTTTTAGAGCGTTAGTGAATTAAAAAAAAGCAGTATAAAAAGCGGAATGTCCAACTGATAAGGCTGAAAATAGTTTGACTTGTTATTTAAAGTAAGATAACATTCACCAACTTTTATTAAAATAAAACCGTTTAAACTGGGTGTTCAGATTTATATGTCACTTAGTATATGTTTTTTGGATGCTATATGACATGAACAAGGTGTTCAACTAAGAATGCTAGGTACTGTATCTGAGAATGTATCCATCGTAGAGGCTTGCCGCAAAAAAAGTTCCTACGAAAACGGCCAAAAGAAAGACCTGGCCGTAGCATGTCCCCCGTGTTCAAGCTCTTCTGCCCAGGGATTATGAGCCCCGAGTTGCTTTTTGTCGCACAATGTTAGAAAGACACAGGGAAGATCCACGGTTCTTTGAAAAAATGTTATGGTCAGATGAGACCACATTTAAGAAAGATGGGTACATGAACCTGCATAACTTACACGAGTGGCACGTAGCAAACCCACATTTGATGAGAGAAGATAAATCTTAATATCGCTTCAAGATAAACCATTGGACAGGAATTTTAAATGGTAAAATAATCGGTCCGTTTGAGTTCCCAGAGACTTTGACTGCTGAGGTTTATTTAGGTTTTTCGCAAAATCATTTAGAAAATTTATTGGAGAACGTGCCACTGAGTATTTATAGGGACATGTGGATTCAGCATGATGGCTGCCCAGCACACTATGCACTCTCAGCGAGAGAGTATCTCAATCAAAACTTTCCAGGCAGATGGATAGGGCGGTCTGGTACAATACCGTGGCCAGCCCGGTCACCAGATTTGAATCCGTTAGATCTTTTTTACTGGGGAACTGTAAAAGAAAAAGTGTATTTCAAGCCGATTCAAAATGTAGCTGAGCTACGGCAAAGACTATTGGAAGCAGCTGAGTTTGTTAATAACCGTGGATTCGCTCGTTTAATAACCCGATGTTTTTTAAGAAGATGTCGAGCGTGTATTGCGGGTGAAGGAAAATAGTTTGAGCATTTGCTGTAAAGGTAAATCATCATCAGCAGCATTTTGACGCCCACTGTTGTGCAAACAGTTATCCTTAAGGGTCCTTGTGCGTTTTCATAATCGCTGTTTAATTAGGAAATTTTGAAAAATTTTCATCAGTTTTTCTTCAAATAAAAATTGTGCATAAGTTAACGAGTAATCTTCTAAGTGTTATACCATTTTGGAATCCTTATTAAATGCGCCAACTTTTGAGGTTACTTGCCAAACTCTCGTAGTACATTTTTTTCCAGTACAGCCAGTTAAAGTTGAGCAAAGTTTTACTTTGGAATACTTGGTTGGGAAATTAGTGGCAATTTTTCCTGAACGAGTAAGGTTGAGATACCAGTTTGAAGATGCATTATTCATCATTACATTGTAAAAATAAAATCCAAAAAAAGTTAATATTTGCAGTAACAAGAGTTGACAGACTGCCGTAGGATGTGAAATTTCTATATTTTTTTCAAAGACCTATAATTTTCAAAACACATACATAAAATTTTTTTAAATATTTTTCTGATAGCTGTTATGACTTTGCCTATCACCCGGTTTCGGCTTGACGTCGACTTCTGGGACACCCTGTATATCATCAAGTGGGACCACAATGAAACAAACAGTACAAAACGATACTATATTTCAAGTAAAGTAGTGAATATAAAAATAAAAAATTATTTATGATTTTCGCTCTTCTTCACTACTCACTAACGCATCACTATCACTGTGATCACTATGACTCGACGTGTCCGACTCGTCACTATCGTCAACATTCGGTCTATTTGTATTAACGAACAAATCATCGTCACTACTCTCAACCTCATCGTCCTCGTCATCGAACTCTTTAGGCCACACTTGGTCCTTCTTGAACAGCTTCACGTGCTCCTTTGTGACAATCCGTACGATCTCAGCTTTGACCTTGTCTCCTTCCTTGATGGGTTCCACTATGACGAAGTCCCCGCGTTTCACCCATACGTTCTTGCGAAACTTGTTCGGCATCGAGACGAGGAACTTTGACTTGTCCGCGGCTTCTACCTGATGCAGGTTGTTGCCCCTACTGTTGACGATTTTGACTATTTGCTGACCGGCAGCTGGTGGTGCGAAGTCATCTTGGAGGATTTCCAACATCACGTGCTTCCTTTTTGTTGCTTTTGACATCTCTGTAAAGATAGGTTATACAGTACAGATCCAAACATATAGTCTAATCATATTAGCAAATTTGCCCGAAATAATTGTTCAGTCTGGTTTTATTCGTGCAAGCTCTTCAAGAGGGGTATTGAAAACATCGACGCATAAAAGGGGTACACCAATTTTTGTGGGAAAACTTTTTATTCCGCAACAAATAATGAAAAAAAAAGACAGCATATAAAACAGTATTGCATTCTAGAGTATTACCACCAAAAATGCAACTTCGAAGTTCTATAAAAAAAGCAAGCAGAGGGTTCCTTAAAGAAAAAATGATATTTTCGAAAAAGTTACATCCTAATCTTTCATTTTAAAGTAAGAAGTATACTAAGTGACATATAAACCCGAACACCCAGTTTAAATGGTTTTATTTTAATAAAATTTTGTACAGGGTGGTCCATAAATCCTTTGAAATTTCAAATTTGAATAAAATATAACGGGTGAGCGTGAGCGGCGCGGGCGAGGTGGGGGCAGTATCTTCAGTGTCTGGGAATTCAGTCGCCATGGAGTGTTTCACTGGAGCGGATCGTGCTTTTTGTGTGCGCGCGTTTTATCAAAATAATGATTCGGCAACCATTGCGCGGCGTAAATATCGAGAATACCACAATTTACACAATTTCACAAAGTGTCCAACAGCTCAAACGATTAAGAACTGGGTTGCTAAGTTCGAAGAGACTGGTTCGACGTTAGATAAACAGCGGTGGGGTCGACCAAGGACAACTCGTATTGAAGAAAACATCAACATTGTGGCACAGTCTGTTCGTCAAAATCCTACCCAGTCTACTCGTAAGCGTTCCAGTGCACTAAACGTACCCAGAACATCTTTACAGCGGATTTTAAGGAAAGATTTACGTCTGCACGCTTACAAAATTCAGTTAGTGCAGGAATTAAAAGATAATGACGCTATTCAGAGACTAAACTTTGCGAATGAAATGTTGAATCGATTTTTTTCCCTCAATAATGTGTTGTTCTCGGACGAGGCTCACTTCCATTTAAACGGGCATGTAAATAAACAAAATTGCCGTCATTGGAGCCCCGAAAATCCAAGGCGTAAGCATCAGAAGCCCTTACACAGCCCTAAAGTTACAGTTTGGGCTGCTATGTCAGCGCATGGCATCGTAGGCCCTTATTTTTTTGAGGACGACAGAGGTCGCGCATTAACTGTTACTTCGGAGCGGTATGTAGCAATGATAGAAGAGTTTTTGACACCAGCGTTGCAGAATTTTCCAGGCTATAATACGCAGACCTGGTTTCAACAGGACGGAGCAACTGCCCACACCTCCAACACTTCTATGCCCGTCGTCTGTCAACTTTTTCCCAGCAAAGTAATTTCTCGAAAAGGAGACATTTCCTGGCCACCACGTAGTCCAGATTTGACCCCAATGGACTTCTTTTTATGGGGCTACCTCAAGAGTAAAGTGTACGACACCACTCCGCGATCAGTTGATGTCCTGAAAGAAAATATCTGAAGAGAAATGGCAAGCATTACAGTGTTGACTTGCCGCGCAGTCATCGACAATTTTAGACGTCGTTTATATGAGTGCCGTGATCGTAATGGATTGCATTTAGACGATGTGATTTTTAAAACATAATTCCCATTCAATAAAGATGATAACAAAATATAATAATTCTTCATAATGTAACTAGTTTGGTTTTATTCCTTTTTCTGTGACATACGATGACACTGACTGATGCTAAATGTTCTTGTTGGTATCCATGATTATTATTTTTTGCCGGGCATTCCATTATTATCAGTATTAAGTTATTCGATTTTTTTATAAACTTAAATCGATTGAAGATAGGCATCTATTAAAAAATCTAAAGTGTATATCTTATTTTTGGATCACCCTGTATTGCACGACTATAGATGAAAATACGTCCTCCTAGAAATCAAAACCGACGTATCACAGCGTTTTTTCCAAAATACACCAGGAGCGTAACAAATGGGGACGCGACCTTTTCGTTGGACCACCCTATATAATCAAATAAGAGTTCGCGCACTGGAGCGGCGCTTAGGGACGCGACGTCTCACCTTTTTCGTGTGCAAATGACATAAAGGGTTGTCCAATAGGGACGCAGTAATACATGTGCTTCAAGTCTGAGGAGCTGGTTAAATGGCAAAAAACGGTCTATGCGCTTTGCTGTCCCAATGGTTTGGAGAGAGCCTACAAATCATATTAATGATTGTTACTTTTGCATGGTACCTTGTGTTGGACAAGCCACAGGTATGTCCAAGAAAAAAAAATCGGTTATTAGCTACCCAAACATACCATCTGCGATGAGACCTGTGCCTCACAGTGACGAAAATCCTATTCCAAAACCCCCAGAATCCTACACTTGCGAATCAGAAAACGAATCAGATCATGGCGATCGAGTGATTCGTCAGGAAGAAGATATGCCATCAACGTCAAGAGATCCTGATTTTATACCGAGCACGTCATGCCACCAACCGCACAAAATAACACAGAATTAAATGATCTTGTAAGAGATTTAGAACTTCCAAAATGTAAGGCAGAGTTACTTGGATCAAGACTGCAGCAGTGGAACTTGTTAGAAGACGATGTTTCGGTATGTATTTTTCGTAAACGCCACAAAGACTTAGAACCATTTTTCAATATGGAGAATAACTTGGTTTTCTGCAGTAACATTAACGGCTTATTGGCGGCTTTAAATATAAACTATAACCCAGAAGAATGGAGATTGTTTATAGACAGTTCAACATTGAGTTTAAAGGCAGTGTTATTGCAATATTTTACCATCTCTTCCTGTAGGGTATGCAGTTCACATGAAAGAATCATATGACAATATGAAGTACCTATTGACATGCATAAAATACGATGAGCACCAATGGCATATCTGTGGCGATTTGAAAGTTGTTGCACTTTTACTTGGGCTGCAGCTAGGCTACACAAAGTTTTGCTGTTTTTTGTGTGAATGGGACAGTCGGGCAAAGGCACAGCACAGCACAGCATATGCCATTAGTAGATTCGAAAAAAATTTTATTACCACCACTGCATATCAAGTTGGGCCTAATGAAAAACTTTGTCAAGGCATTAGATAGAGATGGGTCAGCTTTTCAATACCTGCGTCAGAAATTTCCAAGACTAAGTGAGGCAAAGGTTAAAGAAGGTATTTTTGTTGGGCCACAGATTCGAAATATTTTGAAAGATACACAGTTTGAAAACACTTTAACAGGTATTGAAAAAACTGCTTGGAATGATTTCCGTCTGGTGGTCACTAATTTCTTGGGAAATAGAAAAGCTGACAACTATAAAACCCTTGTCAAAAATATGGTGTCATCGTATCAAAAGATGGGCTGTAATATGTCTCTTAAGATACATTTCCTACACTCACACCTGGACTTTTTTCCTGACAACTGCGGAGCCGTAAGTAATGAGCACGGCGAACGTTTACATCAGGATATTTCAAGAATGGAAAAAAGGTACCAGGGAAAGTGGAATCCTTCCATGCTTGCAGACTACTGTTGGACTCTTGGTAGAGATGCTCCAGAAACGATCCATAAAAGAACAGCAAAAAGAGCGCATATAGTGATTCTTATAACTATATGAATCTTGTTACTTTTTTTAATATACCCTTAAAAATAAAAAGTTTTTTTCTAGACCGCAACTAATTTTTTTAATCCATTGTCATTTTTGGATTCAGCGCCCCAAAATTAACAAAGAAGTGCACTTTTCCCACAAGATACAATTAAAAAACTAAAATTTGTTGTCCAGTGTAATTATTATCAAAACGAATGACATACTTAACATTACTGCCACGCCAGCGGAGCCGGGGGCTCAGTCTAGTATTCCATATTAGTAAATAAAACAATGAAAAAGGTTAAGAGCACATCTAAAGAATCTACCTGTCGCTATCATCAAACTGATACCATCTAGGGGAAACACCCCCTGCTTTCTCTATAGCAGTGTAGATATCGACAGCTTCGCCGTTATCGATACCATAACCTCGTTTCAGTCCGTGAGGATTAGAGGGGGTTACGCAGTCCTGTTTGGACTCCTTTCTCAACACCATGTCCACCTCTACCGAAGAAAAGAAAGCGACCGACTGTGGCAGGTCGTGTAAACCGAGTCTATGAGCGCAGAAAGACCTTGTCAATAAGTTGGTCGTGTGGAGGGCAAGTGCCGCTTTGTATCTGTAACAAAACAAAAATAGAGTCAAGTTCATTCTGTACTTCAATGCATGACCATCAGCGGATAAAGTTAAAATGTTTTTAAAGGGAAATTGATAGTCGATTATTTTCGTATTGTTTCAATTTCTTCACGATGCAGGTCTCGGAAGACGACGTCACGCCGGAAACAGGCGATAGTTATGGGAGTGCCCAAGACCAAGAGTAGTGAAGATCTGCGATTTATAGAGAATATTTCCCTCATGTATCAGGTAACAAAATACGTGCATGCGGTTGCTGTATATCGCACATTGCCACGGATGTTGTTGATCGATAGCGATTGTTACCGTATGTCACTTTAGTATGAATCCTTCTTTTCTCACAGACATAAAAAGTTGCTGAAAATTGTTACATAACTAGTTTTAATAATTGGACATGGCGACGAATAAAACAGTAATTCGAAGTTGTTTACTGTATGAGTACAAACTTGGTACAAAAGCTGCAGCGGAGGAGCGAAAAATATACTAAGTGACATATAAATCCGAACACCCAGTTTAAATGGTTTTATTTTAATAAAATTTTGTATAAGTACTTAATGAAGCATAATAAGTAAATGATAAAAATTTCAAAATGATTGCACTGCTTTAAAGCCCTTTGACCTTTAATAATTTGTGGATGCACCCTCATGTGCTACGCATTCTCCAACGCGCCTAGGCATGCTTCTGATCAGGTGGTCAATGTCCTCCTGTGGTATCTCATTCCAGGCAACCACCAACTCCTCTCGAAGTGCTTCTAGAGTCTGAGGAGGACGTTGCAAATTGAGCAATCTCCTACCCATCATATCCCACACGTGCTCAATTGGGGATAAGTCGGGAGATCTTGGTGGCCATGGTAACAATGTGACATCATTATGTTGAAAGAAGTCTATTGTGACTCTTGCAACATGTGGTCGGGCATTATCTTGTTGGAAAGTTGGATCTTCCAGGGTGTCAAGATAGGGTAAAAGATGGGGTTCTAGAACTTCGTGGATATAACGCTGCGCGTTCATGTTACCTCTGATGAAGATTAAAGGTGACCTGGAACCATAAGCTATAGCACCCCAAACCATAACTCCAACAATGTGATGAACATGTCTTTCAACAAAAGACTGTGGATTCCTCCTTTCACCACGTCGCCTTCTAACCCTGGCACGACCATCGTGCATGCCTAAACAAAATCGAGACTCGTCACTAAAGACAATACTGTTCCATTCCTGATCCCAGAGTGATCGTTGTCTGCACCACTCAAGGCGATTACGTCGGTGTTCTCGAGTTAAAGGGAGGACCCAGTGTGGCCGGTATGAAAACAAGCCAAAACTTCTCATTCATCGGTAAACACTTCGCATGCCAATAGGTCTTCCGTGTTCTGCAAACCATTCATTTGCAATGGACCTGGTAGTGGAGAAACGGTCCCTTAAGGCCAATAATCTTAGGCGGCGATCTTCACGGTCTGTTGTTCTACGGCGGCGTCCAGTGCCCCTTGCTCTTTGCGTACGGCCTTCTCGAAGCCATGCCTGACAACACCTAACCACAGTGTCTACACTTCTTTGCACTCTAACTGCAATTGCCCGAAAAGAAAGTCCAGCTTCCCGAAGTCCCACTATACGGCCCCTATCAAACTCACTAAGTTGACGAAATCGTACAGGTCTCCGTACTCTAGGCATCGTAACCGATAGTAAAGGATGTCAAAAACCAAAATCCGCCAACGTTGATTCTTTACTGCGGCTGAAATATTCATTTTTGGAGCGTTAGTGAATTAAAAAAAAGCAGTATAAAAACCGGAATGTCCAACTGTTAAGGCTGAAAATGTTTTCACGAATAAATAGTGTCTTATTGTTTCTCAATAAAAATTTATATTTTCCTACTGAAAACCGCACGAACTTATTTGGTTACCTGGTATAAAAAATGGCGATAAGAGGTGTAGATTTATCGCAAAATTACAGCGAAAATTTCCCGAAATTTTCATATCATAGGGGCATCTAATTTTTCCGAAAAAATCGAAACAACAGGTTGCTAAGTAATATTTAACAAACATGAGTGCTGGTGGCGTCTTCGACTCTGATTTTTGCACATGCACGAATTTTTTTTGTTAAAAAAAATATTTTGCATAGTTTTTTCGATTATTTGTTTTCACAGGAAAAAATTAGATGCACGAATGGTATTCGACAAGATTATTCTGCACACATATATGCTTACAAAATTAATTGACAATAAAATCAGAAAAATTGTTTAGCGTCGTTTTCTGGTGTCTTAGGTGACCATAATTACTTCTTATCAAAGGTACAGGGTGCGCGATCTATTACTTTTTTTTACCTATACGTTTATGTGTTACCATGAGAGTCAAGTGTCATGTGGTTATAGTCATTGATTCGTTTACAACACAACAACGCATTTTGGTTATCCAAACTTATTACGAAAACGGTCGAAATATAAAAAATACTTTTCGCAAACTTCGGACTAGTTTTGGCCGACATGGACGCCCTACAGAGCCTGGAATTCGTTGGATTGTTAAGCGTTTTGAGGAAACGTAAATAAGCAAAATAGCAGATTCTGGGGGCTGAAAATTTCAAGACCGCATAATTTCACAAGAATCAGATGTCAGTTGGCCCCCGAGATCGTGCGATTTATCACCTCTTGACCATTTTCTTTGGCGATTTTCTAAAGGAAAAGTATATGCGAATAGTCCCCGGACAATTCAAGACCTAAAGCGCAATATTCGGACTGAAATTGCGGCCATAGACCCGATTATTCTGGGAAAAGTCATTGAAAATGTTGATGTTCGGATGTTGGCCTGTAAACGAAACCGCGGCGGTCCCATGACTGATGTTATTTTTCATACATAAATGGCATAAACCAACCTTCATTTATCAATAAAAAAATTGGATTTCACCTCGTAAAAAGCGAGTTGATTTTTCAAATAGAAAAAAAAATTAACAGATGGCGCACCCTGCATTCAGCTGTCAATTTTTGCCGCGGGTAAAACCGAAAAAACTGCTGACAGGTGCTGTCATACAATTTTTCTATCTAGAAACCATTTGCATTTGTGATTGGTAGAAATTAAGATGAGGGAAAGAGTCAGTGAAAATTGCCCAGTAGGTATCGAAATTTTCCTGTAGGTCGGTATCTATATTTACTATTGATGTGCATTTGTCATCTTGACATGCGTGAATATTGAATTTATAAGTCGTTGTAATGTCACGTTTCGGAAGTGGTTCTTTGAATTTAATTCAAGAACAAGTGATCAAAAGTAAACCTAAAAATACAATATGTAATAGAAAAATATCAGGACGAATATAATATTAAATGTAATCCTTTCACTGACACTGCGTGCAATCTTTAGTTTCGATAAATTGTCTCATTTTAATATGTCAACTTTTCTGTAATTTTTATGCTGCACCTGACTGTATGAAAATCAGTTTCCAGGGGGAAATGTTGCATACACTTTCAAAATTTCACAGCGTATCATTGAATTATCTAAGAAAAAAAGTAAACAGTTTAAAATCAAATAACAACTGTGCCGAAATCACTACTAAAAACGTGCTGAAAGACTGTTTCGAAATTTTGGGATATCCTGTATTAAATTGGATCAATTGTTCACTGAGAAGCAGTTCTTTTCCTGAAAATTTGAAATGCTCTACAATAACACCAGTTCCCAAAATAAAAAATTCTAAAAGATGCGGCGATATGAGACCAGTGAATGTGTTACCAGACATTGAAAAATTATTAGAGTCCATAGTGCATGACCAATTAATGCAGTTTATAGAAGAAAACAAAATTTTAGTGGAGGCGCAAGCAGGCTTTCGAAAAAAATATTCTACAGAAACAGCTTTCCAGTTGGTAACCGAGAATTGGAGAAGAGCCATAGACTCAGAAGAAGTTGTCATAGCAGTATTTTTGGATTTGAAGACGGCATTTGAAACGATTAATAGAGATATTTTGTTAGGTAAATTGAAGGCATATGGTATAACAGAAAGTGTTTTAGATTGGTTTCGAAATTGTTTGTCTAAAAGGATGCAAGTTACAAAAGTTAATAACACTACTTCATCAAAAATTGAAAATACGTTGGGTGTTCCACAGGGCAGTATCCTGGGACCACTTCTTTTTATTTTATACATAAATGATTTACCTGCCATAGTCAAAAAATGCAAAATTCAGATTTTCGCCGATGACACTATGATTTATATAAGTACTAAAAATATTCAGTCTGGTATCTCTTATATAAATGAAGACTTGAAGCTTGTCTCAAAATGGTTAGCATCTAACAGACTAAAATTAAATGCAAGTAAAACGAAAGCCTTGTTAATCGAAAAAAAACAATGTACAAATGTTCAACTGAATATTGATGGTGAAGATATTGAATTCGTAGAAAATTTTAAATACCTGGGGGTTTTTGTTGACTCTCGATTAATTTTTGATATGCATTATGAAAAAGTTATAAATAAGATTAGTAGTAAAGTGGGATATTTATCGAGAGTTTCTGGATGTCTGAGTTCATATAGCAGAAAACTTATCTATAATACCACCAGTCTTCCAAATTTCTTGTACTGTTCGACTATTCTATATTTAGCAAATAATTCCATTTTTGAAAGACTGCAAATTTTACAAAATAAGTGCATGAGAATAATACTAAATAAAGATAAATATACTCCAATTAGGCAAATGCTTAGCAAATTAGAATGGCTCAATGTAAAAATTTTTATCAAATATCTTGTAATGATATTCATTTATAAAGTACAAAATAATATATTTCCATCAAGTCTAACTAATTTAACATCATCAAATGTCGACCATCATTTACATAATACCAGCAATAAAGATGACTTCCATTTAATGACCAAAAAGTATAACATATGCTACAAATCTGTATTCCATCAAGGGTTGATTGAATATAATAAATTATACTCGGAGATAAAAGACCAGAAAACTTTGACAAAATTTAAAGTAAAATTGAGAAATCACTTGTTAAATCTACAATTATAGGTTGCCCAGCATTTACATCATACACCATATGGCTTGAATTTACTAGTTCTAAGTTGTTTACAATTGTTCTGTTTATGTAGCCAAATGTGCTAAATAAATCTTTCTACTACTACTACCTACTTAATTTAAATTCACTCCATCTAAGAAAAAACTGAAATTTGTAATAATGGGAAATAAAATATCATCACATTATCTATAATTTGAAAAGTACATGGCTTAAAGTTTCTTTATATTTTACTGATAACTATTATCACTCAGTAAATACCCCGTTTCCGACTTGTCGTCGACTTCTTCAGTATATACGATTTTTTTTAAAATGGCTAATTTGGGTGTTTCTAAATTCCGACGATGTACAGGTACACTAATCATAGATTTCTACTCTACCTGTATTTCTCTTTCACCAAATACCGAACTTCGTCGTGAAAGCTGAGACAAAATCTGATATTGTCACCCATTATCCACCGCATACAGACCAACATCAAATGCAAAAAATCAGCTGCTCCGCTTTGCACCACCCAGTTCACCTTGGTGGGAAGAAAACGATCGTCAGACATAGATTTCGGTTCTAAGGCTCTACTTAATCTTCCCTCTACAAAAATAATTATACAGTATGTTAACATGAAATTCCGTAGTATACAAACGGTACTAAAGGGTTGTCCAATAGGGACGCAGGAAAGTAAACGTCAATTTGACATAGACGCCATCTTTGTTTTCTGTCACCGACATGTCATTTTGTTAGTTGAATGTTTACCATTGATCGCTATGGAGTCGTATTCGATTCAAGACACCATAAAAGTTATTCAAATGGTGCAAAAATAAAAAACACGTTTCGCGCGCTTCGTGAACATTTCGGTCGCAACAACCGCCCAAACCAAACAACCATCGGTCGTCTGGTGCGTAAATTCGAGGCAACAGGTTCTGTGGCAAATCTGCCAGGCTCTGGCCGGCCAAGGAGCGTTCGCACACCGGAAAATATTGCTGTTGTGAAGGAGAGTGTGAGAGACGATCCGAAACAATCAACAACGCGTCGATCCCAGGAATTGGGCATTTCGAGAACCAGTTTGCTCCGCATTCTCCACAAGGATTTGAATGTACACGCCTACAAGGTCCAATTGACGCAAGAGCTGCGTCGGGCCGACCATTTTTCGCGCCGAACGTTCTCAGATTGGCTCCTTGAACACCGCCAAATTGATGCCAATTTTTCATCAAATATCATGTTCAGCGACGAAGCGCATTTCACTTTGAATGGGACGGTAAACCAGCAAAACTGCCGCATCTGGGCGAACGAAAATCCCCGTAAGTATCAAAAGCAACCGATGCATCCTCAAAAAGTGACTGTGTGGTGTGCATTGTGGTCAAACGGCATCATCGGACCTTACTTTTTCGACAATCGGCCGGGGACGCCGTTACCGTCAATTCTGAGCGATATCACGTGATGATAGATGACTATTTTTTGCCGCAACTTGAAGGAATGGATATGGACGATGTTTATTTCCAACAAGACGGTGCAACATGCCACACAACCAACGTCAATATCCATCGATTGCAGTCCTTCTTCGGTGATCGCGTGATTTCGCGCAGAGGAAATGTGCCATGGCCACCGAGATCGTGCGATTTGACTCCCTTGGACTTCTTTTTATGGGGATATTTGAAAAGCAAAGTCTACGTCAACAAACCAGCCACCCTCCAAGCACTCAAAAACAACATCATTGCCGAGATAAATGCCATAGAACCGACCATGTTGCAAAATGTCATTGAAAATTTCGACCATCGCGTGGACGTCTGTAAATCCAGTCGTGGTGAACATTTGAGCGATATTATTTTTCATACGTAAATGGTATAAATGAACCTTCAAAATAAAGTACGCAACTTGATTTGAATATCAATCTTTCTTGTTTTAATATGCGTTTACTTTCCTGCGTTTTGGACAACCCCATATAAAAGTTTTGCAATACACCTTCGTTCAAAGTAATTTTCACCACATTCAATACACTCTCCATCCGCCAAGCCCAGGCCTTGAACCAACTCTGCCAAGTTTCACCCGGGAGTGTGTCCCAAGGTCCTCATCGCTAGAAAACCGTTTTCCTTTTAGCTTCATTTTCACTTGCGGAAACAGTGCAAAGGTGCAGGGAGCAAGATCTGGACTTTAAGGAGGATGCTCAATAAGTTTCAGTCCAGCAGTGGTCAAATACTCGGTGCAGGCTTAGGCGCAATGAGCCGGAGCGTTGTCAAGGTGTCCATTCTTAACAAAGTCATGTTTTTCATAGACTCTATGACTTTAGGCAAGCACTGTTCTGTGTACCACTTAGCTGTGATGGTCTTTTGTGTGTCCAAAACGACACGCTCCACAATCTCGGTCGATTTGAAAAATATAGCTATTTTTTTTCTTAACAGATCGGGATTTTCAGACAGCTACGCGTGTGTCCTCATGATCAAAGACCCAAACTTTGTTTTGAGCCTTGGTCGGCACATCGCAATAACAGAGCCAAGTCTCGTCATCTGTCACGATGCTGTTCACATGCCGAGATTGCCGCTTATCAAACATTTTCAGCATCTTTCGTCACCAAGTCGTACGACGAGTCTTCTGCTCTTCCGTAAGACTGTGCGGTATCCAGAGGGAAGAAGGTTTCCTCGCGTGGTCATGCAGAATTGCTGATGCATGAAGGTGTAAGGTCTCCCTTCTTCTACGCACTGGTCTATGCTTAAACCACGCGTAAGGTTATACCATGAAAGCATCCCACAAACCGGCGCGAAATAATCGCGGCGAAGTATTCGCAACGAAATTCAGAGCGAAATTCGCAATCTGTTTCGCCTGTTTATTCATACCAAAGCGTCTTATTCGCTCCGCGAACGTGAAGGTTTCGACAGGTTGCGTACATTTTATTTTTGCCTTTTGCAATGAGCTCGTCTTCAGAAGAAGAGGAGGCACTTCTATTTCTTGCTTTAGAAGAGGAACAAAATGCACGGTAAGTTATGTTTATTTAACGCCATTTGATAGTTGGGTATGTATTAAGTTTAACGAAGTACATAAAATAAATATTTTCAATTTTGTTTAGGAAACGAAGGAAGTGGGTACATGATATTAACTTGGAACGAAATAAATTTGGGGAATACCATACCTTGATGCCACAACTTCGGCTGGATGAACAGCGCTTTTACGTATATTTTAGAATGACTCCAGAGTGTTTCGATGAAATATTGAACTTGGTGAAAGATGAAATACGAAAATCTGACACAAATTATGGTGAAGCTATTTCGCCAGAAGAACGACTTGCTATTACACTCAGGTAAAAAAATTATATGTATTAAAATTAGTAGGCTTATCGAATACGAAAACTTCAGGGATCGTGAAATAAATATTTTATTGTAATAATTGGACTACATGTTGCCACTTGGATTAAATGTTGCTAAATAATTCGAGGCAGAATTTGCCTCCTCTGTTGGGTATATTATTGAAGTAAACCCAGTGCCGCTTGGGAAGGACGACATACTACTATCATACATACTTGCAGAATTCTGGGTAGACGCTGAAGACATTTCTTCAATATGTTCAAATTCTTCGTGCGCTATTGATTCGGCTATTTTTAGTTTTATTCGGGCTTGACGCTTTAAGGGAAGTGTTTTCACAGTCTGTGCATGTGCCAAGAAAAGTGAATCAATGGCCTCGTTCTCTTTTTTAGGTTTTTCACCTTCAAAATAATTAATGAGCTGTTGTACAGACGAAGATGGTGGTTCATAGCGTTTTCTGCTCGTTTTATATTTTGGTGTAGTTGCAGTCTGCGGAAAGGTGTGCCCTGGAGTAGTCACTGCTGTAGTGTTCAATGAAGAAGGTGGTGGTGTCTGTGTTGCCGAGGCGTTCTGTGCATCTTCTGCATCTACATCAGCATTTTCATCTTCTCCATGGCCGCGGTCTTCCAAATTTTCGGTTTCTACATGTCCAGCCCTTTCTTGATATATATTTGAGTTAAATTCGGCAGTCTCATAATGTATGACAATATCTTTCACATTAGACGACGTTTTGGCAAATGCCAAAAAAGGACGGAAAAATTCCATGTAGTCAGCCCACTGCCATTTCTTTATGTTGCCCACTGCTTGGCCGGTCTTTGGTTTGGTAGATTTTATATATTTTGCAAATGTGTCTCTGATATTCTTCCACCTTTTTTTTACTTCATCACCTAAAAACGATTTTTTTTATAGATTCCTTGCCACTGGTGACACCTTCTATACCATTGGGCATAGCTATCGAGTTGGCTTTACAATCGTAACCGAAGTCTGTGAAGCGATATGCAGACAAATGGAACATATATATTTACCAGAACCAACAGAGAATATATGGAAAAAATGTGCTGAGGAATTTGAAAATAGATGGGGATTTCCCAATTGCATTGGCAGCGTGGACGGTAAACATGTAACAATCAAGAGATCTAACAACAGTGGCTCCAATTACTGGTACTATTTACATAAATATTCAATAGTACTTATGGCCATTGTTGGCCAGGACTATAAATTTATATGTTGATATTGGTGGTTTCGGAAAAAATAGTGATGGGGTTATTTTCGAAACCTCAAACATGGGAAAACGATTTGAACAAAATTTAATGAGTGTTCCTGCACCTAGATTTCTCCCTGGGCAAAATGAAATCTGCTCGTACGTCTTAATTGGTGATGAAGCATTTGCTTTAAAACCATACCTTATGAGACCATTTCCTTATAAGCAGACTTTAACAGACGTCAGAAAAGAGAAATACAATGTAAGACTTTGTCGAGCTAGAAGGGTCGTTGAAAATGCATTTGGTATTTTGTCTCAAAAATGGCGAATATTTTACAGACCATTAGAGACTAAAGTAGATACTACTATTCTAATTGTACGTACGACATGTGTTTTACACAATTTTTTACGAAGTAAAAGTGGCGATCACAAATATTTTCAATTCTTAGATCCCCCAGAACCCGTGCTTGGAGCTTTTACTGATATAGCAAATGATCCTCGGCGGGCAGCAAGGCTAGCATTTTCTACTCGTGACAAATTCGTAAATTATTTTAATTCTGATATGCCTATGCCCAATATATAGAATGTTCGTTTTCACATTTGTGTAGACTGTAAATTATTTAACAAGTTAATAAAAAATATTAGGTACATACCATTTGTATTTAATTCTTTTCCTATTTCCATCCAAATCTTGTCTTTCTTTCTCACATTCCTGTATTCATCGTTCGACAAATCACACAAACAAGGATACTTTTTCACTATTTCTATCAATAAAGCATCCCACAAACCGACGCGAAATATTCGCCTTGGCTGCGAAAATTTCGCGGCGATGAATTCGCGATCAGATTAAAACGCGGCGGTTTACGGACAGGCTCAGACTTGTGCGAAGCGAATGCGATTGTTCCAGCGTTTTTATCGCGGCGTATTTCAGTTCGCCTTTGACCGCGTTTTTGACGCCGTTCTTCAAAAATTCGCAATGGCAAAAACGGAATTATTGATAGAAATAGTGAAAAAGTATCCTTGTTTGTATGATTTGTCGAACGATGAATACAGGAATGTGAGAAAGAAAGACAAGATAAAAATAGGAAAAGAATTAAATA